ACGCAGTCGTGAATTGAACTTTTGGCGCACTGTTTTAATTTCACCGTATGCCCCCCACCCCGTTGGAAAAGTCCTGGCTGCGACCCTTGTTCAAATTCTATATCTCACTATTGATTACAAAAGTATAATTGCATCCAAATCAACAGCATCTATATATATGACTATATGAAGAATCGTTAAAATTAAATAATATACATGCAAAAATCATAACAAAATGTACTCTAAATAATGAAATAAAAAACAAACTTTTTTGTGTAAATTCACAAGACATGAAAATGGCAAATTTTAAATTTTAATGGCAAGATATCCCAGAGTAATTTATAGTTAAAATCAGTATTTTTAATAATTATACGAATAGCTCACAAAGTCCAGGCAGCCTGGGCGTTCATATGGATCACAGAGCTATTTGGAGAGGCCGTGCGTGGTTCGCCATTCAATAGGCTTTCGGTTTTATCGGCTTTCCTCTCCCCCTGGATAAATATGTAAGTCCCATGTTATATCAATGAATAAATACAGCAATAACCGCACCCCACGTGGCGACTGATTCATATTCTGTTCTGTAGCTACGTTTTCTGCCTAGTAGATATGTATTCCCAATATGCATATGCTTATAGTTAGTATGCTTTCAACGTAACATACTTCGAAACCCAAAACCGAACCCGAATCGAAAAATTAAAAGCCTCAATACGGCCAATTTCGCACTCGACCCAGCTGAAACGAGGGATTTTTGCAGCGAACGATGTGCTTTCTCCATATGCAACGAACCATTTAGCTGGACGACGTAAGACGTAAAAATGCAGGTCACAATGGATTAATGAGCAAATATTTGGAAGTTTCCACTCATTGTATATATGCTCATTGGTTAAGGATAATATAGTAATTTTGAAAATGATCTGATATTGAATTTAAATGAATCTGAACATTCTTGACATTAGATGTTTCCATGCATGAAATATACAATCGATCTAGTCTGCATTTATACATGTTTTAATTATAACATTTTTGCATCCAAGTATATTGTATTGTTTTACTGTTAAATTTTCTCCAAATATAGAATGAGTCAAAATTCTTTTGTAGCTTTTTCGTACTGCTATCATTTTTGTAGTTTTGTTCTGGAAATTTATCTTTTTTTTATCTAAAACACAATTGCTTCTTATAGGTTAACAAATGGACAAATATTTTCCAGTACTTTTTCTGCCCTTTCATCGATATAGTCTTTTTCTTCAAAGTCCTAGTTTACGTCATCAACCATCACTTTCGCGCACGCTTCTTCTGTCATGAATTTTACCCTACATATGTTGGAGAGTCGATAGATACATGGTATACATCTTTAACCTGCTTTATTATAAACCAGGTTTTTAATTTGATATCTTTAATTTGACATCGTCGTCGTCCATACTTCGACATTCTTCGCTAAACGTTTTATAAATCAAGTAGTTTTGTATGTTGAGCTCAGTTCTTAATCAAACTGCGAATGGCACGTCCACCTCTAGTAATAGACAATTAATCATAACAAGAAGCAATTAAGTAATGAACCAATAACTGCGATGTGAGTGTACCATACGTAAACACTTAGAAACAAGAGAGCTATGCTCAAATATGTAAGCACGGAGGGGGAAACTAAATATTTCATCATCAATTCCCCGAAAATCATATGCGGTAACTTACCAATATCCGTATCGGAAACCGTCGAACCGAACAACTCGGCCACATCATACGGACAACTCGACTAAACGGACACATCTCAGAGACAACTCGACTATACAAGACACCGGTGACGGCGCTACAGGTACTGTCGTAGCTTTTCAAGGTCCTGTGACGATGATCCATTACTCGTGATTCAGTTTCAACGTGAATTGAAATACTAACTAATCCGAGTCACTTCAGTATTACCAGATCAGGTCCGACAGTCCACCGTTCTCCCCAAAAAAACTTCTCACATTCGCTGAGCACGGAATCGGCTGATATGCGTTTGCGGAACCGCCACAAGGTGGCAAATTTTGGTGACGTCATATCACACAAAAAACGAATCTCATAGAGCTCACAGAAATATTTGAAATAAATAAAAGTAGTAGCCTTCTAGCGAAAATAATCACTTATTAACCACTGAAAATTTTAAAGCAATTGGTTCAGTAATCAAGGGAAAAAGCTATATTTTCACAACGATAGGAAGAAGAACAAGAGAGCAATGCCCAAAAATATGGACACGGAAAGCAAGTTACCGAAAATCATAAGCAGTAACTTACCTGTATCGGGGTACCGTGACAGTATTGTAATTGTTGGCATATTTCTGTATTTATCTTTTTTCCAGCAAAAATGTAACAAGACAGCAAAAAATGAGCACAAGCATAGCATCTGCACAGACATGCTCATTAAAATAAATGTGTTACCTAATTTTATTGAAGGCACACAGTGTTAAAGAAGTATGGTAAATTGCCTAACTTCGAGCAAAGGACCTTATTCTGTTATAACTGTATTAATACTGTAATACATTTACAGATTCATGTCAGTATGTGGTATTTCTACTAGTTCTGTGTATGTTAAAACAATTTTACTATTACTGTGTACTGTATTATAAGGACAGGATTCACAATCTTGCCTTCGATCGATTTGCACATACTAACATAACACAGTATTAGCATTTTCAAAGTTATAACCGTATGATTTTCATCCTGTTCAAAATTTTGTCAGACAAGGATACCGGTATGCCAATTTTAGTTTTTGTCCGAAGCAGGCAATTCTGGTAAATGAAATTCATTTCACTACCACTACCAGGTATTCTAACATTCGATTCGGTATATTCCAGTGTACGGATACTAATTTTAGTTTTTGTCTGAATTAGGCAAATGTGGTAAATGAAATTAATTTCACTACCGGTACCAGGCATTCTGACATTTGACATATTCCAGTGTTCGACACTCACCGGTACCGGGTACGGTAACAGCTTACCGTACCGTACTGGTATTAGAACTGTGACAACGCATTTACCGGTACCGGTACGGTATCAGGACTGAAATCTTTTATATGTTTCCTGTTTATAATACAACACCTGAATAACAGTACTGGACTAGTTACGGAAGCTTGTCTTGTCGAAAAAAAACACTGGTCTACAAGACATACCGGTACCCTACCACAGTCTACAAATATACTGACACCAAGCAAGCAGTCCATGCTTTCAAAAAACAATGACCGTACCGTAACTAAATAATCCCATACCGGTACCCGACATGGAATGGTAGGTGACCGGATGAGTAATATAATATAACACCAAGTACGGAACTATTCGTCATTCACTATTCCTCAAATCTTAGCAAAGCAGGGATTCCATTACTAACCACCGACGTTCGATGGCACGTGATCAGAAGAACAGAAGCGTCCGCAGAACGTTCGGTGACGTCATAGCAAACAAAAACAAATCTCACAGAGCCAACAGAAATATTTGAAATAAATAAAAGTAATAGCCTTCTGGAGAAAAATTTCATCTTTAACCACTAAAACTTTCAAAGCAATTGGTTCAGTAATCAAACAGAACGGCGACTTTTTAGATTTTCCACTAGGTGTCCAAAAAGTGTCAAAGAACAACAACAACAACATAATATTGAAACGATCGTTATGTCCACTACCGTGTCCAATAACATGATAAAGAACAACAACAACATAATAACAAAACGATCAATAGGTCCACTACGTGTCTAATAATGAGTATCAAAATAAATATGCCGCACATTCGTGTTTTAGGCCAGTATGGTATTGTGCATACATCCCGTCTTCAGTATTTCTAATTACTAATTCATTTATATTGCTTTTACGAGACGAATAAACATACATACAAATCAGTTAAATGTTCAAACCAGTGACTATGTCTTGAGCATCGCTCTTTTCTGATACAATAACCAATCAGCAATAAGTCAATAATGACACAATATTTGCAATTGTGGAACCGCTCATGCGGATATCCAAGCATAAGTGCAACCCAAACATTGTTGTTTTTAGTTATGTTTCCAAAAATTAGTTCCATGAAAAAACTAAAATATCAATATGTTTTTCGAGGTGCTTTAGTAAAATTTGGTCTCGAAAGAGCTACGATAGACTAAGCTAAAAGTAACCATCAATACCTGTGGGCGAGCAGCACATGGTTGAATACGTTTTATTTTACAAAAAAAAAAAAAAACGATGGTGTGAACCGATAAATGAGACAGATTAAGGATCCAACGCAGAATGACAATATACCTTATTATTTATCGAAATTTGTGAAATACATTCAAAAGCATTTTTTTGAATACCTGAAATGTACATAAATGCTTTCAGTACGCAGGATTAGCAAATGTCGTAAAGAAAGTCACTCGAACTACTTACTCTTTTACAAAATTCTTTAATATCGATTGCTCGTAATATGACAATTACAAATTTTGGATCTTTATACATTTTATATGCACTTATAGATTTAGAATGAATTTGATTCATTTGACATAAAAATGTGATTAAACATTTTGCGGCACTGCATTTACTGTAGAACGACAATTATTCACCCAATTATCAATATTTTTAATTGAGATTGATTATCAAATAAGAACATTATGGATAAGGTAGTACAAGTGGCCACTTGAATTATTAATTTCTAATTACTCCATTTGATATTACGCAAAATTGAGCGTACGATTGGTATACTTACGAATGAAAAATCACAGTAGTCTTCGGGCCTACAAGTGCTTAACAATTTGTGTTCAAATTTGACATAGTTTTCAATAGTATTGACAAAATTTTCTATATTTTCATTAGTCGACTATCAAATGATCTTCTGCATAATTATGGTTGAGTACCATCAATTAGAATCGGAGTATAAAACATAGGGACAGTTTTTCAAAGAAAAATCAGAAGATATAATTCGAATCATAGAACTACTAGTAAGAACAAAGGTATGGCTAAATTAGGTTCAGCGAAAAAATAGTAAATCTCCGAACTAGCTTGAGATTTTATATGAGAATCGTATACGAGTGCTTATACCGAAATATGCTCATTGCTCACTTTGTAAAATGATTTTACAAACTTAATAATAAAGAATACACATGAATACTTATATGGATTCTTTTCAATTTGAATATTGCTTCGGTTTTCACTCTATAAAACGATACGACTTATTTCCAATTCAAATATTCAACAAATTTACAATGCGCAACCGTTAAAGAGCCAACTCGTTAATTTTGTCAGTTTTTTACTTTTCTATTATACGATCCGACTTATTTTCAATCCTATTATTAAACAAATTTACAAATCCACCGAAAAAGCGTTTTAGGTATTATAGAAACATCGCAGAAATATTGCTATTTTGAATAAATCTTGTGGAATACTAACACACCGTGGATGAGAGCAGAGAATCCCGTATTGATGCAAAATTCTTGCCCCTACTCCGACTTTCGCACACATGAAATCTTTGAATTCAATACTATATAGTTCAGAATATTGCTCCAGTTTATGCGTCAACTTCAATAACGATTTCAAACTAAAATATAGTAAATTTAACTGATAAGCGTTTAATACATTTTCACCTAATACGTTTAAGAACAAAATTTAGAAAACTGTGTAATTTGATGCGAAAATTATTGCACTAAGTTCCGCACTAGTTTTTAAGTCTTCAGAAAAATGACGGAATTAGTCACAATAGCACACTTGAACACAAATATCACGTAAGTATTATTTATTTTACAATGATTAATTATGAAATGATTATTAAACCAAGAATATAATCAATGAAATTCAAATATATTCAAAGAATCTGAATATAAATAGAACAATTGAACACGTGAAATACTATAATTGAGAAATAATACTAGAAGTCATTTTTATAAAATACCGGTAAGTGATTTTGGCCAAAGGAATTTATATGCATCGCGGAATGGAAAAGCTGTCCCGGCGTGACTTAATGTAATGTATTTCTGTCGAACAATATTTTAATATTTTCGTCAGTGTAGTAAGCTAATCTGACTTTTATGTTTTCAGAGACCGAATTAGACCATTCAGCAAAAATGGAGCAATTGCTGCTGCTATATTCATTTTACCAATGCATTGTTTGGTATTTTTGCAAACGTTGTTACCATTATCGTCATCGTAAGATCGAATAAACTCTCCAAGTAAGACTTATCTTGCTCATTCGTTATTAAAAAAATGTTGTGAATAGGAAACTATGATGATACATAATATCGTGATTTATATTTTTTAGATCGGGTATTTAATTTCATGATCGTCAGTCTCTGCGTTTCTGATTTATTCTCTGCAATCATCAGCCCTTTGTCTCTTCATCGACGTACATTGGGATATGACGACTGGATGATGCCGGAATTTTTTTGCAAGGTGCACATCGCTGTAAATTTGAAATGATTATCAATTTTCTTCGTGCTCCATAATTGTATTTTCATGAATATTTTCTTTTGTAATTTTTAAGGTATTTTGGTCTTTTGATAATTGGACATCGATCGTAACATCATTCCATATTTTGCTGTTCTCTGGCGTAAGGATGTTTTCCATAAGCGCTCCAACATATTATCAAAGAATGACTCTTTACCACGTGAAAGTAAGTAACATACATTTTTTGGCTTCGAGCCAAATATACATAGAATTTCAAACACTTACTGCAGCTTCTAGTTTTTCCATTTTTTCGGTATAGATCATGGTCTGTATTACATGGTTTATAGCTTTCGGATCTGGATTCATTCCATATTGGTTATGGTTTGGACTCAAAGATGAGGATCGAGCCGAAGGAATAGGTTCAAACTGGCCTGACTGTACGTTGAAATACCAATGGTATGTTACTCCAATTATATCTTTGAGCATGAGATAATCTGAGTGCTGTTGTGGCCTTATTTTATTGTGTATGTTGTTCACTTAAATAATTTACTATTCCAGGCTGCAAAGTTTCAAGCTGTATACCAAAGTAGCTTACGGTATATTTTTCTACATGCCCATGATTGTTGTTTCAATTATATCTCCGATAATAGCCAAACTTATTTTGAAGAAAAGAAAAGAAAGGATCCAGAGGAAAAACAATGAAGGTAGGATTACAAGTTGTGAGAAATAATTTTGGTTCAAATCAAAGTATGTTGTAGAAGAATGAGATTTGTTGAAACGGTAATCTTTTATTTGATTACATTTTGTTATAAACCAACATCCAATTACTAAATGTACGAGAACTTACTATACCCAATCAATAAAAATCATTTTCAACCTCTTAAATCACCTAAACATCCGGGAGTTTGGTAGCAGTGGTCGTCACACTAAATTCTCATCATGTTATCAATTTTAACGGCGACAATTGTAGTTTCAGCAGCAACTGGACAAAATACTTTGAGTGATTTTGAACGAAAACATCAGCGAAGAGAAAATAGTGCTATTTTACAACTCTTCGTAATTGTTGGATCTTTTATGCTGGGATACGTGCCGAGTTCGGGTTTGTAACATTTTAACATGACATAGAATAAATATTTATGATTGCAAGAATTACTTATTAAAAACCTAAGCTTTTTATTTCTTGCACGGATTACAGTTGGGCTTATTTGTGCATTCATTTGCAGCATATTTTTTGTACTCTCTGGCTGTGCCTCAGACCACATTAGCGGAAGAAATTACTCACTGGAACTTTGGAATGATATCCTACATTCTTCTCCGAGTGTCGGAATGTGTCAACCCAATATTCTACAATATTGCATCAAGGTATATTGAATAAGAAACTTACATTTTTTAAAATGAGCCCCTCGTAAACGAATACCCAATTTATTGGACACGAGGTATACCTAGGACCGTTTTGTCAAATTATTGTTGTTAATGGAATTTTTTTTTTCGTTATTGTTTTTGTTAAAAATCGTTTTTCTCTTCAATTACTGGGCCTATTGCTTTTCTGGACCAATTCAGGGGTGAAAGATTGTTGGTGTCACTAGAAAGCTAATTTTTTGCATGACCACACCGTTTTCATACCTTCGTTTTGATTTTGCGAACAGCTTCATATTCCAATTCCAACCTATTTTTGCACTATAATGTACACTAAAATAAGTGTTACTACAATAAATATTTTTTTATTTGAAAATTTAGCAAAATGCGGAAAGAAACAATACTATTCTTCAAAAGTATACTACTAAAATGTTGTCCGTCCCGATACTCCGAAACCATCGTGAGTGAGGTTCCGACCAGCGCAACAGGTCATACATCACGGGATGGTAACCAGAAAATTGATCTTTAGATTGCTCATGGTGGAGTTTGTTCTTATCTTTCAGTAATAAATCAGAGTTATTTACGTGTTGTACAACAGGTCGAATTTCGGAATAGGTCCAACTCGACAAATAATTTATGAGATAACATCTGAGAATATAATTTATTTATTGCATTGTATTTAATTAGATTTATAAACAAAACCTGATTTAAAAATTCATGTTCTCAACTGCCAGTGAAGCAGTATTCGATTTACAAATCCGGCTGTGCCCAACAATGAGTGGGATAGTTAAAGTACGGTACTCCGGAAAATAAACAGTTTGTTGTACTAACGTGTGATTAGCTGTATTTTACATTTATTCTATAGATGTGACAATGTATGGAAAAATTTGACAAAAGGGAAGCAGAATTCAAAATATTTTTGTTATTGATGTAATAAACGATTGCGCAATTATTGCTATGCTCTTTTCAATTCATTAATAAACTGACAGGTATACTGTAAATGTGCCTATTACTATATATAAAATATACTATCAGACTTTCGAGTATTGGAATTTTTAATCCACGTTGTGATTTGTCTTTCCGGCTGTGATTTCATTTCCATTGTTTGACGATCTTCCAAAACAACTCATGTTATTTCGACTGATTCAACTTAGACGAATTAAGAGCAGCAATAACAGTGACAAGCCGGTAGGCGGCCAGGATCTCCGCTGATACCTAGGCCCGCGGCATACAGTATATCGCGAGGATCCAATTCATTAGCCAGCGTTTAGGTGAACCACCCACTAACAGCGAGAAGTACATCAAATTCCAAGCAAATAATACTTCCGTATATCAAGAATACCTGCAACAGCTGCTATCCAGTGCTGGGATTCAAATTTCTTGTCAGCCGGTTCCTTCACAAAAGTCATATTTTTCAGTCGGTTCTGTTACAAACAGAACATTGACAGTAACCAGTAATGGCAACCGGTTCGCTGAACCCCACTGCTGCTCCTATCCAATCCTCCCTAAATACTTGATGTGCGATCTGAACTGGCAACTCTCCCTAAATGTTTTGACGGGCAACTTCTTGAAGTTACTGAATAATGTCGGATTACACCCCAGCAATCTTTCACCACCCAAGAAAAATTGCTGACCTTTAACGACAGCGTGCCGCAGTGTCCTCTAACGACATGCAATAACCAGTTACCAGTCCCGCACTCAAGCAACCGGTTACCGCCGGTTTGGCTCGGCGGTGTGGCTCAACGGGCTAAGCGTTAGGAATACGCTCGCCACCGCACCTCGAATTACCCTGCGTGGGTTCGCAGTTTCGAATCCCATGCAGGGATGGTTGTGTGCGAGAGGATTGCTGGACTCCTCGCCGTCGTTGGGTGGTTCACGTAACCGCTGGTCGGTTAGGGCTTCCTCCACCACCAAGTCCATGCTTCCGAAAACAAATAATATTACCTGATCCCATACCCGACTTGAAATGGTAACCGGACGAGAGGCCGTGGTTCGCCATATGGATAAGCCGTCCTATCGGCTTTACTCTCCCCCGGGATAAATATGTAAATCTTATCCTATCCTACCATGCGATTAAGAAAAAGAGCTGGTTACCAAAAATGCTAGTTCATTTAGACTCGTTCCGTTAGCGTGTTCCGTTGAGTTCATTTCAAACGCTGCGCGTTCCGTTGACATACTCGCTTGACTGATATACTGTGACTGAAAATAAGGAAAATAATGTTCACTAAAATCCCTAAGGCTTCTCCAGTTTATGGAGTATCGAGACCAAAGACAACTTATTGGAAAGAGTACTTTGCCATGCGGAAGGTAGCGCTCTTGGAATTTTAATTTTCGACTTGGTTGGCGAGCAAACCGCGATAAATTGTGAAAAAAATAGAAATTTCAAAACGATAGCTTTTCATGTGCGATATAGAGATAGTAATAAGACTTTTGCTGGCCTAATACAGATCGCAGAATAACAAATTATAGTGACATTTTTTATGCAGTACAATGTAACGCAAGAAAAAGTATTAGCGATCGAAACTAAAATGCCAAAAGCCCGCAAAACGAGAACATTTTAGATGAGCGTTGGAAGCACTTTCTTCAAGAAGCATTTGTGTCCATTGAATCAGCTTTGCAAAATTGTTGTTATTTTCGAAGAGAAAATCGTAGTCAAGAAAAAATCCTTATTTTTCTGCTACTAATGGACCAATACTTTTTAATTTTTCAACACTCAATTATGGGAGAAGTCGCTAGAAGGCTATCATTTTTATGTTCTTCATATTTTTGAAATTTAATCTGAATCCGATATTTCATAATCAATTTTGCTGCTTTATTCAAACAAAATCTCAGTGCGCTGAGTCCTTACGCAAGTCATCATTATGCAAATGAAAAAGGCCCGTAAATGGTTTCGTTAAAATTTCTCAAAATTAGGCTTACCATATATATATATGTGAAACAAAAAAAAACCGGACAGTGTGAAATAGACAACTCACATGTATATCAGTAATATTCGAATCATTGGGAAACGTGCATTTTTTTTCTGCATATTGAATAAGTTAGGACAGTACAGATAACGTATGATGGTAAATTTACGTATATATTAAATCATATAATAATTATGATGGTAATTTAATCTCTCTCTCACCGAACAGTCAGTGCAAACGGGCTGCCTCCGTTAAAAAAATTTGCATTTATAGTAAATAAAAAAGTGTATATGACTGTCAAACTGCATGACGGGGAAAATCAAGTCTAGCGGGCGGGACAACTTGTCGAAATCGGGAATGTCCCGGTTAAACCGTGACGTATTGTAAACCTATAGATAAAATACAAATTTTTCGGTAAATTTAATTGTTGCTTGCATATAAGCGAAATATAATAATATGATGTCACGTCGGCCCACGTTTATGATGCATTCTTTGCATGCGGAAGTGTGGGAGTTGAAGGAATATGACTGTTTGTTATTAAGTGATAGACTCAATTGTAGGTTCCTGTAGATGTGTAGGTTCCAAGCACCAGTGAAAATTTGCTGCTCAAGCTGTATATATTTGAAAGGAAACTACTTCGATATAAGAAAATTTCTCCGAGACGTCGATAATGAGATGCCAAATAGACGTAAGGGGTGATGGGATGCAAAGTAGCGACACTAACCTCTAAAGCTGGTTAGGTGTGTGTGTATGAGTGTGAGTGTTGAGAGTAAGATGTTATCGAGTTCATAACTCTAGGTTAGATGGTAACCGCGACCATCCTGAGCACAAAATCAACTGTTGTCAACAGCTTTCAGCGCATTTTATGGAATAATCATTATTTAATATTTGGATGAATCGTTTTGGTATTATTATAATTAGACACAAAATGAACCCATGGTTCGTTTTGTTAATATGTTGTTGTTAATCCTCTTCTTCCTGTTAGGAAAAAAGGTTCTTTAATTTTCTAGGAATCGTATGAGATCTTATTCATGGATACACCAGTCTAAGAACTAAAAAAAAAAAAAATACTGCATAATGATCAACAACAACAAAATAACAAAACGATCCATAATTCCATTTCGTGTCCAATAAGTTATCTCATTCAGCAAACTTCGAAATATCTGATAATATACCGCTTATCAGATATGAGAGTGAGTAAAAGAGTGCGGTAGATATAGTTTAGCTCACGTAACAGGTAGATGTTGTACAAAGACAAAAACAAGGTTCAGTTGTATAGAAACTCAATTGTGTTCAGATGAACATCGATGAAGCCGTAGTTAATGTTCAACATATACATGGGAATGGGTACAGGGTCATTATTTTATTTTACGTTATGGCTATGTTGTGTTTTATGAATAGGCTTGTCCATGGGACATATTTTTCTGTTCTATCCCATAGCAATTTATTTATGGCTATCCCATCCCGTGGGATTCCCATTGGAATACAATTTAATTTAAATCATTAAACGTATGAATTTTTAGGTTTAGTGTCTAATAAATATGACTACATGTACAAAACGACAAAATTTATTGGCTTTGTTAACTTTAAAATTCAGAAGTATTGTTAAACTATGACAACTCAGTATCATCCTCGCACTCTTATTTAATTTCTGGGTCACTCTGCTCATTCAGCAAATTATCAATTTCCTGCTCATCGACTGTTTCTAATAATTTGGTTGATCCGGGTAATTCCTGAACTATTTCCTTAATTACTTATCGATCTTTATCTACGTCGTCGCGATGCGCAAGTTTCCTTCGTGAAATTTTCCACGCTATTGAGTCAGATCGAAGGATACACGCCGCGAGATCGTATCTCGTTACTTATATTTACTCTTTAAAGTTTAAGCAATGTCCATATCCCTCTATCAGGTTCGGGGTTGCAGAATTTCTCACCAAAATATCGCTAGGCTGTGTCTGAATAGCCGTTGCAACCCGGGTTAGCGCCGTTGTATTTGACACAAAATATAGGATTGCAGAATTCTTCATAAAAGTATTTCCTCGAGTAGTATTTCGACAACGACATGGGTAGTTGGCTATTGTTTCCTACATTTTTCATATTGGCTGAAAACTATTCAAAATAATCCAGTTCGGGTTTGCAGAATTTTTTCGAATCAAAACCGCAGTTTCTGTTTTGGGGGATCCCCTAACTTTCGATCGATAAGCCTTCGGTCTCTCCCCGATATTCTCGTTTTCATGTTACATGCAAATCTGATGAACGAATAAGTATCACCTCTTCTGTGGCCCGATCGCAACGAAAAAGCGATTCTCGACTCTGTGTGTATACGCACTGTTGTGCTACCACGTTACCTCACTATCATGTTAACCGCGCCGATAAGGACATAATGTTAATTTTGTTGACGCACAAAAGGTAATCCTATATAAAATTCTCTCAATTGTCCCACTTGTCCCATGAGTGCGCTTGTCCCACGTGTCCCGCTTGTCGCATGAGTACACTTGTCCCACGTGTCCAATGGGAAATACAAATGTTTGCTGTCCCAACACATGGGACGTTTACCATGACAATCACATTCCCACGGACAAGCCTGTGAATTTGTCTATTTTTACTGTTTTAAAAATCATCTCCTGTCCTTCGTATAAGAGTTATACAGAGTAGTTTAATTTTCAAGGCATCTACTACAAAAAAACGGTTAAACGGTTGGAAGCTGCACATCAGTTTACAATGACTGGGGTAACGACCACAATCAATAATAATATAACAGAGTGAGTATCTAAAAGTGGTAAGATATTAAGGCTATAGAACCTGGGTCAACTGGCAAAACTATTCAACTATACGTGTATCATGTATACGAGTACTATTTTCCACGTCACCCAACGAAGAAATGCAAGCATGTTTTTGCCGGAGACAAAAATCAAACTTTAAAAATAGGCACAAATAACATCGAATGTGAGAATAAAACTGACTAATTCTTAATTGTTCAGTGCTAAAATAAACTTATATGATTGGTCATGGTTTTATTTACACAGACACCAAAATTACAGTTTGTTATACGACAAACCATGATGTCAACTGAGCGCGAGGTCAGATTAAGCAGTAAATAAAATTCTATCTGATTTGTAATTGAGTTTATGAATTTATTGTGCAAGAAATGGATCGTTTTGAGAAATTGTTGCTGAAGTATTTTTTTGAGAAGACATCACTGTTATCCGATGCTAATGGACCAATTGATATTAAACATTCAACGATATTGAACAAAAGCATTTTTTCATTCCAATTTTTCTGATGTGTATGAGTCTTTTCAAGAACAATATAAGTTTAAGCTGAATATATTTGATTATACAGCAGAGAGGTGGTTCACCCATTCAGTAGAAATGGAGCAATCACATTAGCAGTATTCCTAATACCAATGGCAGTTTTCGGAATATTTGCAAACCTCGTCACCATAATCGTTATCACAAGATCGAAGAAACTTTCAGGGTGAGCTGAAAACTAATGAAATGTGTTAGTGAAACTTAATGACCTGTGTATATCACAATGCATTTTTCTGTTTTAGTTCTGTGTTCAACCGTCTGATCGTCAGTCTTTGCGTTTCCGATTTATTGTCCGCAATCATCAGTCCTTTATCTTTGCATCGACGAGCATCAGGATACGATGACTGGATTATTCCAGAATTTTTTTGCAAAGTAAATGTTATAATTTTAACTGCAGTGTCAAAGATTGCTAGACAAGTTTATTTTATCCAGCCAGTAGTAAAAATGATAGCAAACAAAATCACGAAAAATAATTGAACACACAGTAAGGCATCCTAATTATTCAGTTAACAGATTTTCGAAAATACGACTACTTTTTACCCCGATTTGACTCGGGATCCTGATTTCAGGATGAAGTAAAATTGGCATTGTCTCCATTTTCAACATAACCAATTTGTATAGAAAAAACGTTCACGTTTGAAAGCAATTATAATGTTTTGTTTTTCAACCATTGGCTCCTACTGGAAACTCTAGAAGTCTGAAATTGGAGAATTTTGAAAATACGAGTCGGGTTATGACTTGCATTAGTGCATATGCTTAATACTTTTATATATACTCGCTAATCACTTGTTTTCATGTTCCAGGTATTTTGGTCTGTAGACAACTGGACATCTTTTGTGACCTCTCTGCATATCCTAATATTTGCTGGCATTCGGATGGCATCAATAAAATCTCCAACGTATTATCAAAAAATTAAAATCAAACACGTTAAGGCAAGTTAGTGTATCATGAACACAACACATGTATTCTGCGTTTTGTGGTCCATATCTCTTTTTCGCATAACTTGAACGGACTGGCTGATAAAGCAGTTTTGACGGAATGAATTTAAAAAAATGAAAGCAAACCCTGCAAATAAAAGTACAATTATATAGACGCGTAGTATGACAACTTTACCTTATATTTGTGACTATATTTATGTAGAGATTGATTCTTTTATTTGAAATTCCGTAATGTACACCCGTTCTGAAACAATTTCATAGAATAAAATATGCTAAGTTTTTTATTATTATTTAGATTGGAGTGGCGATTATATGGTTTATTACTTTTGGATGTGGATTCATTCCGATGTGGCTTTGGTTCGGAGTGAAAGCTGCTGATCGACCAGTCAATGGTCACGGTACAAATTGGCCTGACTGTACACTATATTTTGTCAGGTACGTTTCATATTTTATGCGGCGTTGACCTTACTTTTTTGAACCACATTTATGTGAAATAGAATATCTATTTCCGTTTTTTTATTTACCTTTCGCCCTTTCCCATCTCCATGAGACCGATTTTTGGATCAGAGATTCGTACTCATCACTTTCTTGTATTGTGCAATGTCTGAGTTTTAAAATTAGGATGTTAGGTCAGTTTTTATTTTTTTATTTACATTCCACAAAATAATTAATTCTATGATTATTTACAGTATCGATGATTTCAAATTATACACTAAAATAGCGTACACAGTGTTTTACTATATTCCGATGGTGGCAATTTCTATACTATCTCCAGCCATTGCGATATTCATTATAAATAAAAGAAGAGAAAGAGCCGAACGAAGAAATTCTGAAGGTCAGTAATAGTTATAAAATATTGCAGTTATTGTAATAATATAATAATATATTCACAGATGAATCGAAAATGGTTAAATTATATCATACATTATAGGCGCCATTATAGTTACCCCGCGCCTGATTCAAAAAGAACTACAAGCGAATATGAGAAAAAAAGTCAACGGAAAGAAAACAGTGCCATTCTTCAGCTTGGAGTAATTGTGGGATCTTTCATGCTCGGGTATATACCTAGCTCAGGTATGAAAACTCCCAGTAGAGTGAACCTCGCCATATCTTTTTATTCATTTCAAGTCCGTTTCTATTTTTTTTTTTAATATTTTAGCTTACTATTTATACGCGACTGCTGCGCCTCAATCAACACTGCAAGAACAAATCTTTCATTGGAATTTTGGGTCTGTTTCTTACATATTACTCAGATTATCGGAATGTCTCAACCCAATATTTTACAATGCTGCATCCAGGTAATTGCGACAATCATATCATATATCATGCTATTGCAATATAGATATCTACCTGATTAATATCTAGTAAGTTCATGCATGATATCCATTACTATGGGCTCATAGATTAAAAAGTGAAATTTTCATTTGGAACATTAGCCATTGCCTTCGAATGGTAAGTGTCAGCAATCGATTCGTATGTTTGGATTACGGGAACTGCTTGTTAGTAATTTTTTTCATCCGAAAATCAAGTCATGACAGAAATCCCTTTTCAAAAATGTGAAAATAATCGTTAAGATAATAATAATGAAATATCCCATTTTTGTGATGTAAAAAGCATTGTACACGTGGACACGCGATGTTTTTAAAAATTAGACGTACATGTTTATGAATTTAATAAAATTAAAAACTTCAAATTCAGTAAAATGAGGAAAGAAACAATAACATTCCTGAAGACGTTGTTAAAATGCTGTATGCCAGGAGGTTGCAGACCAAGAACGACAGCTACAGTTGACGTAACATCAAGTACATCCAACATCAGAACCCAGGAAATTGAACTTTAATTAACCCTACGCCACACTGCACGTTGCATAACAAATGGGTGCTAACACACGAATGCACGAACACTATTAACTGACAATTGTTTCCAATTTCTTATTACATAGTTAGTATAAAGTAAAAGAGGAGCTATACTGCTTCATAACCTATTTTGGTTTAAAAACTTCAGATAGACCATAAGTTATGGCAATTTAACTGAGACACACAAAAGAATAGAAATATTTCATAAATCTATATTTCGGAACTTGAAATTTTGAAAGCCAAGTCAAAAGTTTAAGTCATAACTTTCCTGGTTAATTTCATTTCGGAGTTTTATAAACCGACCTCAGTTTGCCTTAAAGACTGTTTGAAAAAGCTTTGACAGTGATACCTAATGCATAAAAGTCATTGAAACAGATCCTTCATTCAGTACGAAAAAATTGAAGCCTATTTTTTGTGAGATGATAATATGCGAAGCTGCATAAAATTATATTTGACCTTGCTTATACTAGCCACTTTGTGTGTATTTATATGCGTATCAACATCTTGGCTCAAAGAATGTTATAATTATGCAAATAAATAAAACTGTCGCCATCGTTGAAAATGAACATTGTGTTAACGTAAATATGATAAATATTTTGTGTTATATTATTTTAAACGCGCATATACGGCTGCATACAAAAAATTTTGTACTTATGTAACGAAACTTATAACCTATGTTGTAGATGATAATTGAATGTTATTCATCACGCGTTGCAGTTCCCAACATTGTGTCCAAAAAATCTCATCGATTTAGTTTGTTGCAAACAAAGACAGACAAAATGTCTTGAAGATTTGGATTCTGAGAAGTCTCCCTGTATACATTGCATATATAAAGCAATTCCGGCTGTATATTTTCATCTTCAACTCTTAGTTTCTGAACTGGGTATAATATTGTTGTTGTTTCATGTTTTTTGTATGACACAACGGAGTGACAATAGATGCCATACCTATGTAAACAAAAGACCAATGCTCAAATATATGACTAACCGCAATACATCGGTATCCTATGCGGCCCACACGGAAATCTGTTATTTGAGGTGAAATGTATACATGGGTGGTTTTACTGGGTTGTTGTTATTGGTAATAAAACGCTTTTCCCGACACTTATGGACGCACATTTTCAAATTTTCAGTACTTATGGATGATTGAAACCTCCAGAAGGCTATTAGCTACACAATCTAACCGTCGGTGAGACTTGGCCAGTGTGAGTCACATAGGCTCCCGGTGCTGCAGTTGAAACCTTATGAACATATATCTGTGCATTGCTCTCTTCTCTGCTATATTACTATATATGCGTTCGAACTTTTATACGCTACATTTACTAAAAAGTTATTTATTGTGTATCGTACTATTCACTATATATATACTATACCAAATTGTTTTATTAAATTCCAAATTCGGTATTTGTCCTGTAAATTATATTCCATTGATATCACATAAACACTTTATTTCCTATATATATGTATATTGAAGAAACACCATGGCCAAATATTATTGTGTATTACTGTTACCTCTTCACAGTTACCTCGTAGATGGCTCTCATTGGCGTAAATAGAGATTTCAACAATAATAGGCATGGGAATTTACTATTTCCTAACGTTTATAAATTCTCAAATGAGAATTGTATATGTTGATATAAAATGCTACATCCTATTTTCTATGTTAAAACCAAACTTGCATTTGTATTGTCAATCCAATACAAAGAAATTAGATGGCTTTAATTAGCCCGAATAGAGATTCAATTCTTGAAATTCAGTAAACAAATCATTATGTATAGTGATTTGCATTTGAATTTCTATTTAAGTATTGTTTCTAAATGTATATCAGTGCTTCAAATCATTCTATATGCTATATATACTGTTTATAGCTTCGTTATTTCACGGTATTCATTAAACGTGTAGTTCTTTCTGAATTTTGTTAAATTTGAAAACTTTTGTTTTCATGTCTATTTTAAAACTGTAACTGATATAAATAAAACGAAACAAAAACGATAAAAATATCACCTTCTGGCAAAGCTGTTCCGTCCTATCAAAAATAGAATTCGGAAGTGGCAAAAATAGTTCAGTGGCATTAGTCTTTTTACGGGTAATTGTTAAACTTATCCTTCAGCTAAGCGAAACAAAACCCGGGAAGTCTAAAAACGTAATGGCCTACATGTAAAATTAATGTACGTGTTAACATTCCTACACCACCTAAGTAAAATTAATTCAATTTTTACCTGTTTGCGTTGGCACACATATTTCACATAAAATATATCTAAAATGAATGAATTTCGAATAATCGTATCGGTTTAAACAAATGTCTTTCCTAAAATAAGAAGCTCAGAAGATATCATAACTTTAACTAGTGCAGTTGGTAAATTCAAGCCGTCGTGAATTCAACGTTCGTGAACTTCAGCATCTGATATTTACGACTGTAGGAAGGTAGAAAAGACAAGTAGGCATTCCAAAGACCACTGGCGCGATATTCATTACTTCAACGTGTATGCATATGCAGGGTGACCTCCTAAAAATGAGCTCTTTAATCAAATTTTTCAAACTATGCCTATACTAACGTCTGTTTTCGTATGATTTTATCCAAAAAAGGGAATCTAGGACGTTTTGCACAGAAGTTAGGTTCTCTCTAGAATATGTTCCAAATGCCCTCCTAGGCGTTGGAAAGGGACTTACCAAAGGGACTATCAGTTACGCAATAATTTCCAATCACTCGCACACCATCCTCTGTGACTTTCTCTGATAATTGCTGCCTTGAGTTTACCAATTGTTTGAAGATTGTTCTGATTCACATCGTGTTTTGAATGCACTTACAGATAAAAATGTGGAGGTTCAAGTCAAATGAATAAGGTGCCCGCTCGAAGTTACTACTGACTGCTAATCATCTTTCCTGAAATCGCTCTCTCAGTCATGCAGTCAAGGCTGTGATTTGATGTGTGGAGGGTTGCCTCTACATGTCGGAACCCATGGTCATCTCTATCACTCCCTCTACATCGTCGAATACTGTAGATATCCAGAACTTCCTCAGGACTTCGTTTATTCATCGTTTGCGCTCTTTCATTTTTGTCTCCAAACCAATACTTATGTCTACCCTTTTATTATGCAATGTTTGCCTACGTTAAGTAAAATAAACAATTTTCGACCGCCTTCCTATTTGGATTTCTTGCATATTACTTGATGATCCACGACCATTTTTTTTCCAATTTCTAACAGCCCTAGTTATAATATTAGACTCAAAAAGCTTGATAATATTTGTACATCTAATACAGATAGCTTACATCGAAGATTTTTCGGGCAACTATCGCAGGAGAATTAAATCAAGTGATAATACTCTTGTTAATATAATTTTACACAGTACAAAAAATTGCCAAAAGGCGCAGGAAAACAAGCATAATCTTAATTCATGAATAAATCTCTCGCGTCATTTACTCAGAGTTCAATACTCCTGTTTATTGAAATAAAAGTCATACACCTCGAAATCATTATGCAAATACTAAATAGCAGGAAGTGTGTCTAATTAAACCAACGATTTATTCAAACGTGCAGTCTATTATCAAACGCACGCATAAAATCCTCACGTTATGAATATCAACTCCTGTATACGATACTTCATTTGAATACGGAAGTATGGGAGTACAAATAGAACTGCTTAAATTAACTGAAGTAAGATAAGACGTAAATAACGGTTTGATTCGTGGGTTTTCAGCGTTAGGGTAAATTTACTAAGGTAACTAATTGTTGTAATGAATATATCCCGTATGTCTTCACTCGAACGCCAATGCATTATATGTGACTATATTTCATCCCAAACCATACTTTGACGAAGTTATCAATTATATGTGAAGGCTACTGTATAGGTTTCCTAGAGCAAATTTCTGGACAATTTTTTGATAATCTTCACGATCAAATATCCGCAATCAAACCATAAAATGAAGATTGCTGCGGGTATCATTATATAACCGATGGTGGCCTGAAAACGAGGTACAACTGTCGTTGTTTGTAAATTGAATTTTCCCTTTAATGGCCATATTTCTCAACGACGTTTTAGATATGGTACTGAATTAGTTGGGATTTGCCGTGATTGTTTGATATTATCACGACTATGGTGAGCTTATTTAGCAAATTTCTAAATGCCTGATAGATCGAATATTTTAAAATATAACAGAGTGAGAGTTCAGCTCAGGTAAACGAGAATATACTGCAATACACACAAAAAATAGCAAAAACAATGTATTATACTTAGATTGATATATTTAAACGGAATATTCAATCCGTATTAGAGATGCCAAATATGTATGAAACTCGATCAAAAGTTTTAATCGTGTACAACAGTGGTTCCCAAACTTTTTGTTCGAGCGGTGCCACATTATCATGTAAAACCTCCCGGCGGACTTTATAAATATGACTCAATTTTGGGCTCGTTAATATGTACAATATGCCTTTTGAAGTTTGTACAAATGTAGACCTAAAGAATAAAGGCAAAAATCTGCTACCTTGTCTCTACCTGATTTTTGTTTGAAATGCTAAAAAAATCACTCGTGTTCGCTCAACTCGGTTCAGCAGATAAATAAACCGCAGCTCGCGAAATTGCAGCAAGTAACACCACGTAACAAAAAGTAAATGACATAGAAGGGTAAAATGAATTTATTGTTTCATATACACAGCATTTAAAATAAGAAATCATAAAACATTCATAATGATTACAATGTGCAAAATATTCAATCATATATTAGTTATGTTTAACACAATTCTTATAATTTTTGCGGCGCACTTGGTTGAGGCGCCCACTTTGAGAGCCGATGGTGTACAACATATACATGGAAATGATGACACGTCGTGGTAATGTCGTTGGTATTATTGTTAAGACAAAGCTTCGCTTTTTTTTGCGACTAGTCCACCAGTCAATTTTAATTTTTACAAATGGAAGTAGTTGTTCGAAAGCTATTACTTTATCTATATAATAGCGTTATTGTCTTGATTTCTATGGTACGCTATGTCCTGACTCATGAATTTGTTTGGTTACATCTCATTGTTTCAGAAATCATCTTCTGCCATTTGTAGGAAAATTATATGATGTAGTCGTTGTGACGAACATTTCATTTATTCAAGCCATCAGTCATAGGAAGTGGTGATGCTTGGAAGCTTGTTATCAGAATAATACAATTGGATGGATAATACTACAACAAAGTGAGTATCGAGTATTTTGAGCTATATAAATTGGTAGTGCTTTACTAAGTGAGCCTGGAGTAGCCTACATTCGTACTTGCTGTTTGTAAACGATATTTTGTCTACGTTCACGTATCAATGCTTGCAAACAAGTTTTTTCAATCCCACTCTGTGTGCGCCTATTCTTAAATGTGGGTTAAAAACGCAAAATTTTTGTGGCCGATTTGATGCTATATAATTTTAAGATTTTTGGTGTTTACCACTTACATTAAGTGGACTTCGTTTGCAAGACTCGAACTTTTATAAGTCTACACTGCAAAAATCGACTGATACTTATTATGATCTGTACATCAGGCTAGCATTTTGTATTCTTATTTTGAACCGTATGCTAGTTTTTTTGGCGATTATTTGACCAACGCTGCAGTATGTTTAAACATATATACTCGTATATATACCAATATCTTCAAATAATGTTGTTGCATCATTAGAAATGACTGTAATCGTAGCAATCTGGGTACTCTCGTAGTATGTGAACCAAGGTGGCAGACACCGGAACGTAGTAGGCCTATGTGTACCAGGTCGGGCCATAATTTTATTCCGATTTTACTTATTTTATTTCTATTACGAGTTCGGGGACTAGCCAAGTGACGCCCGTAGTATTTGTACTTGAAATTATGGCCTAACCTGGTACATATACTACGTTCCGGTGTCCGCCATCTTAGTTCACATACTACGGGAGTACCACAATCTGAGGTTAAATACACCCAATCAATGGGCTGTTTTTTTTGCTTTATCATATTTTCAGTGAAATATCGCATGTTAGATTAGTCCCTTTTTCTCAAGTTATTTAGATTTTATACTTTTTGTGTCTTTGCCCATTTTTTTGGTTCTGTAATCAGTCCTTTTGCCTCATTGCCGATTTATAGACTATATTAAAATCAGCATATATATGTGCTGTGGTAATCATATTCCAATGCCTGGTTGATGTGTAGTTTGTGGTTACCATAGAATCCACACGCATGGTTTGTCCTTAAAGGAATTCCCTAAACATGACTCAAGAAGTAAACTGTGGATCAAATTTTTACTACTAACCCGTTCTGATTTACCCATGGGACTCGCAGAAGAACTCTACCTTGAAAGGATCATTTCAACCTAACAAATCACATTGAAGTCCGTGCATACGCATAGTAGGCCCATACTGCTTTAAACAACAATACTTGACGCAATTCACCAAATCGATTTTTTTTTTATAAGTTTTCCATGTTCTGGTTCATGACGATTTATCAAGCGATTTTTGTTTTATTCTATATGTTCGATGCCTCGTGTTATAAATATTACATTGGGCTTAAAATGACGGTTTTGTCATTCCAGGCATTTCACTCCAAACAAAGCTCTATATATATGAGATATGAGTTCTCAGTACTACGGCATTAATGGCCGTTTCCGAACTGCGGTCGATTTATGTTGATGCCGTTGTTAAAAATTCACATGTTTAAAGTCGACTCTATGTAAATAGTAATCTTCAAAAATTCTGGAAAAAAATATATATAGAATCAAATTCATCAAAATAAATAAACCCACTTTTAAACCGAACTCCTGCGTGTGCAATAATTCATGTGTACGTCAAGTCATACAACCTACATTTGACGATAAGATTATATCGAACAATTTAGACTTTAGAACGTCTGTTGCAGTGCTATACATAACCGAAAAAAAAAATAAACTTATAACATAGTCATGAATAACATTAAATTTGACAAAACAAATTGACGGGCACTATATCATTGGTTGTGATGTCTATGGTTTAGAAACTTCAACTAAAAGAATAAACACATACAATTTGGAAAAAATATTTATGACGTATGGATCATAACTTGATACTCAATGTATGAATAATAAATACACAACAATGGTCCTAAAATGACAGGTTTCAATTTTACATTGGTTTTTGAAATAGGTGAATTCAACATAAACACAATTTGAAAAAACATTTCTGACATGATTAGCACGGACGACAATCTTTTGTTCCGCCGTGAACGAAGAGCGGCTGAAAAACGTTACTGGATACCGACTTGGTTTGTAATAATATTCGTGGATATGTCAAATTTATCAAAAACCAAATTTTGATTTTTAACAGCTGAATTGTGTTGCGATTAGGAAGCGTTTTCGAATTCTACTTTATTCTGAAGGGCAATAAAGCAGATTTTGTCTCTTGCAGAGATGTGGTTCACCCATTTAGCAGAATTGGAGCAATCGTATCAGCTGTATTCCTAATACCAATGGCAGTTTTTGGGATAATTGCAAACCTCGTCACCATAATCGTAATCACAAAGTCAAAGAAACTTTCACGGTGAGATTCAAACTAAGAAAATTTATTAATGAAACATAAGGCCAAATGCATTTTTATGCTTTAGTTCCGTGTTCAATCGTCTGATCGTCAGTCTCTGCGTTTCTGATTTATTCTCTGCAATCATCAGTCCTCTATCTCTGCATCGCCGAACATCTGGATACGACAACTGGATTCTCCCTGAATTCTTCTGCAAAGTAAATATTATAATTGCAACACTTGTGTCAAACTGTTTTGTTGTTTCTCGTGTATTTAGGAATACGGGGAGACAACAGACGCTTTTGTTTAACTGTTTCTTAAATTTAACACGATATTATTTATCAATAAATCGACATAAATTCACTTTTATATTGGAGCTTGATATTTCTTCTTTTTAAAAATCTTCCGTCTCTTCTGGAAATCACGACTGCATAGTCCGTCTCTAGCTTCGAATCAGCAAAATTCTACACTGAGAAATAAAAACACTTTTATTTTTTTTTTCAATTTAGACTGATTTCAGACGTTTGAAAAGTTTGTATTAGTGCATATATATAAGATATTAATATTAGATTTCAATATTTGTGAATTGCACGATTTCTTATTTTTATTTTTTAGGTATTTTGGTCTGTAGATAATTGGACATCTTTTGTTACCTCCCTGCATATACTAATATTTGCTGGCATTCGGATGGCATCCATAAAATCTTCAACGTATTATCAAAAAATTACAATCAAACACGTTAAGGCAAGTCATTGTATCATGTACATAGCACATGCATTTTAATTGTTCGTATAGCGATCATCACCCTGTTTTGGGAAAAACCTTAGCAGAAATTTATATACACTTCAAGTTACCTACCCCAAAGAAAGGTGATATTAATTAGACAAAACAGTGTTGTAGATAGGTCCACTTGCAAGGTGTACTTGTCAGGGGATTAATGTGGTGCGCTCAAACGACAAGTATCAATTTTTTTTTCAAAATTTCATGTGCCCGCGTTCCTTTTCCAATAGGTTTTAAAACTTGTTTTTCTTTTTTCTTTCCATGAGCCTGTTTTACTTCTGTATAAACGTTTTAGAATTTTTTAAAACGGCGAAATCGGATGGCGCCTAAATGCCGGTGTCCTAGAGGCGAAAGAGAAAACGGAGTGCCCAGTGGTCCCATTCCGCGGAAAATGCTTAATGATAATAATGTAATTAAATAAATGTTTGTTTTTGTTGTATTTCAGATTATGGTGACTGTTATTTGGCTTAGTACTTTTGGAAGTGGATTTATTCCCTTGTGGCTTTGGTTTGGAGTGAAATATCCTGATCGACCAGCTAACGCACACGGTACGAATTGGCCAGACTGTACACTGCATTTTGTCAAGTACGTTTTAGTGTTTTCTGCGTCCTTGGCTCCGCCATTTTGCACTACATTTCATGTGAAGTATGAACTCATTTTTCCCGATGTTTGTTTGGTTGGGTGTGAAAACTGCTGATCGTGAACATTGCTGAAAATTTTCGAAAAAAAAGGTTAAATTAATGTTCATTTACAGTATTGGCGAATTCAAGTTATACGTCAAAATAGCGTTCACAGTGTTTTATTATATTCCTATGGTGGCAATTTCTATTCTATCTCCGGCTATTGCAATATTCATTATAAGGAAAAGGAGACAAAGAGCCCAAAGAAGGAACCCTCAAGGTTGGTTATTACAGTTATTGTAATAGTTCTCGGAAAAAAGTAAATTAATAATCCACGAGTTTGCTATGAAAAATATATGAATCAAAAATGATAATAATGATAATTCAACTCCAGGTACAATACCAAATTCAAGAAGAAACGCTAGCGAATATGAGAGAAAAAAACGCCGAAAGGAAAACAGTGCGATTATTCAGCTTGGTGTAATTGTGGGTTCTTTCATGCTTGGTTATATACCCAACTCAGGTATGGAAGTTGAATCATTAAAATTGTTTTAGAGATCTCTGACCCACACCATATTTAGATTGGTGTATCATTCTTTCTCCAATTGTTTCTCGTTATTTCAGTTTACTCATTATACGCGACTGCTGCACCACAATCAACACTGCAAGAACAAATCTTCCATTGGCATTTTGGGTCTGTTTCTTATATTTTACTTCGATTATCGGAATGTCTCAACCCAATATTTTACAATGTTGCATCCAGGTAATTGTCTCTAAGATGTATTCAGTATAACTTCCATATTTGAAATCATATATAAATATTATAATGGTTATAGAAAAATAGATGATAGCGAATTGTTAGGCAAATATATTCGGGCTTCATAGTATCAGTTTCATTGTATGCCGAAACTAATCAAGTAAAATGTGAGAAGAAATGGATTTTGAAATGGTTATGCTGGAAACTACTATTCGTTAGCTTGCTACATCAAAAATGCTGTCAATAATATTGATTTGGGGCAAAATATTCTCTGTTGATAATTGTTAAGATAATATTGAAATATCATATTGTGATGCAAACAAAGCATCATACACAATCGTTCATTAATTAAGTTATTCTGAATACAATTTCCAAATTCAGTAAAATGAGAAAGGAAACAATATTGTTCCTGAAGACGTTGATGATATGCTGTTTACCAAGATGTTGCAAACCAATAACGATAGATACGGTTGGCATAACAACAAACTCATCTACATCAAACGCATCAAGGAACAGAACCCGAGATATTGAACTATAAATACGCCAATGAGAGTACTAAATAACAATAGGACTGAATGGAAATAAATAAAAACTTTATGCACAAGACTGCTTATTGAAGGTATATTAATGCGATATCATAAAATGTTATATTGAGCATCAGACTGAGATTTGACCAGGAAATTTGTTGTGTATGGCGTAACTTAATGTACGTATCATTTTTAAAATAGAAGTTTTCTGATTGTGTAATAAAGGCCAATGCCTTAAGCAGAAAAGGCTTAAATATAAAATGAAAATTTGGGGCACGATTCTTTCCTCAAGTACATACACAAGTACAGTTATAAAGTACAAAGTACTTCGGAATGTTAATCATATATACTATACTGTTATGGGGGTTTAAGTTCAGTTTTAAACCAAAGATGCTCAAGCTGAAAATGGCAATTTTTTACCTCCATTAATCATTTATCAGTTAATCAGTTATTCGTACTCTATTTATGCGATGGTTCAAAAATCTTGAACCGATAGTAAAGTTTCGACTCCTCTGGTCATGACTCGTTGCTTGAAATAACATCGTCTCTCAATTCTTTTGACACACCAACCGAAACAAAAATACTTTACTCGATTCGTTTTTTCACGGATTTAATTACGTGATTGGTTTCACTTGGTCCTTCCATATATTCGAATATTACTTCACTTTCAATGTATATTTTAAGATTGTAGCGTTTATATGAACTGCGATATAAATAACATATCATTTTCTGTCATGCTGTTCAATCTGGAACGTACTAAAATAGAATTCATAACTAATATTATTTCCACGGGTCATCCAGATCTCGGGAAAAATCGCAATACAAACCTGCGAAGTAAAAAAATTCGATTTAAAAATGATCACTTATTAGAAGAAACTTTACCACTGAACTCCCTTAGATTCAATTGATCATCATCTTCTTAACATAAACGCAAAAATAATTGTTGGTATTGTAACATTTTACTGAAGACTCTTTTAATGTAGAAAATGCGACTAATTCACAAAATCTTTCACTTTCATGTGCTGTGGTATAAAGTTGCACTGTGAGCGCTATTAATCTTATCTGACCCAATCAGACCGAGCATTTAATTTTCTTGAGTGGGTTAACTTGGACACTTTTAATGCGACATTAATATAGATTTTCTGTTTACAATATAGTGCGCATTAAATTAATGGTATGGTTTTCCCAAACATTTTGTAGTTGCTTCAACAATCCTTTTCAAGTTTGAGAAAGTCTTTCGAGACAGAATTGTAAGCGAGCACACATTAGGTAGTTGAATACTTCCTGTACCCTATACAAAGAAACCCAAAACTTAATTTAAATTCATTTGAAACTCCAAGACAGACCAGCTGAAGCGCAGAAATGGAACGGCGATATTTAACTTGTTACTGTTATCACAGGAGTGGCGAACTTCACTAGAAACCTGTTCAGATAGCATATGGTATAGAAATATAATGTAAACATGAATATAAATGAAATAATAGACATGAAAATCACCATGAGTTTTGGAATCGCATATTCAAAGTAATTAATCAGGTCGTGTATAGAACCTATTTGATGATGAATGAATAAATTCAACACCCATACAGCACGAACTGCCTCTGAGTCATGTTATGGAAGAGATATAAGATCGAGGTGGAGCCAAAAAAGTTGCAGTTTAAATCAGAATCGTTTGCACTGCTCTGGAATGAAAATTGGTTGAAATAAAGACAACCGAATCTGACAGCGCATGTAAATATACAATTTTCGTTGAAATAGGATCCGACATAGTTGGGCACGTTGGTGCGATTCAGGCTCGAAGCTACGAACGAGGAACCGGGAGTGGGGTATCGATTTCAACATTTTAAGATTTAAACCTTGAAGTTTTGAAAGTATTTCGAAGGCTATCAGTAATTTAAATGTTTATGTACTTTGAAACTACATAAAAAATATTTAATTTAAAATTACCGACAATAGTCAATTGCTAATGAAATAATATTGATACGCTTCATATTAAACATATTGCCAAACTACGGTTTTGATATGTGCCTTGCTTATGTGCACAGATAAAGACAATATGCGCAAAATTATTAGATTAAGTTAGGGAATTGAGAATAAAATCAATTGTGAGGTCAGGAATCAAGCTTTCCAAACTCTATCTTTAGTACAAATGTGATACATTACATTATTCTTGTGAAGTATTAGACTTGGATGATGCGATTATTTGGTGTCTAGGCCTTTCCTACAAAAACATTTGGGTGAACAACCGATTTCATGCAAACTTATTGTAGGTTTATTCGCGATTCATTGCTGTTATATGTGTCAGAATATATTACAAATATGGTATAATTAGTTATTTAATGATATATTGCAGCATAAAATAAAATAAAAAAGGAACAATCAATGAATTTTTGCTTAGTGAAATTTTTGGAACCTTTTTTGCTTTACTAAGCGCTTTATATGAGGACGAAATAGCGGTTTGGAAACTCTCAACTGCAATCTAAATTTTTTGTCTGTCAGTCTTGACTTGTATCGATTTCGGGGGTCGTCATTTCACTCGGCGCGAGCTCCGCTCGGCTCGGGTGTTCGAGATCCGAATTTCCGTTCGAATACCGCACCATTTTTGACAAGAGTTTTTTGGTCGACTACCGGGGTATCACTGCTGTACAATCAATTTTTATCATATTTATATACTAAAATAAATTGTATTCTTCGCTATTTTATCCCAGATCTAGGGAGTTTTCTAACGGTGATGTCTTAAAAATAATCTTGGGTGGTAGCATTGAGATAGAAGCGAAGTCAGTATTGCAAAAAAAAAACAGATTAAATTTGTATAATTCGTAAAATCGCCAAATACGAATCGAAACTAAATATAATCCGGAAGTTTGAAACGCTTTTTTATGGCCGTGGATTGCCGTGATATTTATTAGTAATGTTTCTATTTTGTCGACGCAACCGCAGGTTACATTGAACACACAATTAAATTAATAAAGAAGGACATTATGAATAGACTCCTACAATGTTCCCTCTAATTTCTTGTAGTATGTGTGCGCAGAAATTTTGATGTGTGCGCACTTTTTTGGAAATGGCTAATATTTGTGCAAAAACCAATGAAGAGATTTTGGCATTCTAACCGGGTAAATGGGTGGGCCAACAACAAACTTTCTCAACCTGCCAACCGAGAAAATTGTTACATTACATCGAAATACGTCTGTGTGCAGTAAATCTATGCGTGTGCGCAGCCTCTGAAAGCTGTGTGCGCGCGCACACGCGCACACCTTAGTGGGAACACTGGACTCCTATTAGTCGTCAATTGAATACTTTATTACCCAACAACATGACATAACAGAAAAAAAACGTTACTCGGCGAAAACGAGACCCGACCTGCCCAATTGCGGCGAAAGTTGCATGGCGATTCCTGGATTCCGGATTATGGCATTTTGTGTCGGGTTAATATGCAAAATTCTTGTCAATAATGCTTCAGATAAGTATTTCGGGATTCTTTGTACAATGCCCCCGCCATGAAAAAAACACCACCGTCTTTAGAAATTCTAAATAATCCAGTTACGGTTTTAGGGTGAGGGCTAGGAATGCAGATTGCGTCGGGAATTCAAATTCTTAAATTATTTCGAACCCGAACCGCAACTGGATAATTACCAATTTGTTATTTCGGAATATGATGCTTTTCTCAAATTTCACATTTTTGTATTAGTGACGGGGGCGTTGTACAATAGACCCGTATTTCGAAAGCCTTCGAATATATGAATTGATAAACAAGTCCATACTGCGACAATTGACCGATTTTTAAAAAGTGATCATTTTTTTCGAAATCTTCCATTGTTTTAATCATTGAGCTGAAGTTATAAACTTTTTGTTACTTTCAAAAATACCGTGTATCGTGCCACAAATCATTACAATTTCACAAACTAAGGTTACCCCTTCTCCATTAATTTTTACGCGTTTGCCGTTACTCCCGTAGCGTGTGTACCAGGGAAAATCCCCTCATATTTTATTGAGTCATAAGATTATTTTACGTCACGTCATGAGTGTGGTTTAGTCCATGAGTCATTAGGACTAGTAAGCTGTTATTTCCCTTTTCATAAATTTCCCTTTCCTTAGTTTAGTAATTTTACCATTTCCCTGGGTATCGGTTCTTCACATAATGTAATATATTGGTTTTTGAGCGCCCGTTTGCCGACAACACAGCGTAACTATGCTAAAACAATGGTCATTTTGATTCATTGTTGAAAGTATCGATGATCCAACAGAAATAGATGTTGATTGGAAATAGCGTTGCCAGTAATATTAATGAAACTGACGCTCCCGTTTTCCCTGTACAGTCCCTAAAAGTTTATGACTTCAAACCGAACAACACTAAATACACTAAATCGCTAAATGCATAGCGAGCCGCACGAAATTCTTGGGCGGGCGCAGGTTCGTCACCTCTGCTTTAAATGGAAGTGGTCCCTCTCCTACAAAAAGATCTGTGAGAACAACTGATTTGATGCACACTTTTTTTAGGTCACTACGACTAATTGCCGTTTCCAGAATATAAAATAGATATAGAATATACTCTACTCTGTTACGAATACCAATCGTATTTTATTATTTATTCGACACCGCATTCGACACAGTGGCAATCACGAGTGATATCGGCTTAACCTATCCATCCGCAAAATTTTTTCTCACAAACGGCATCAAATATTTTTCGACATATCATTATTCATTCATTACGGAGTGATTGTAGTTTGAAGAATCTGCGCTTGATTACAGAAAAGTATTTTTAATCTTTACTAAAAATAGGAAAATAAATTTATTCTGTTTCAAGTATTTCTATTCTCAGGCTATCAAGCTGCATAAAGAAGCAATGTTTGACCCTTATTTGACAGGCTTCTAGTTGCGAGTCATTGTCTTCTGAGTCGCTCCTGCTATGCTTGACGTGACGTTTTTCCGACAAAAAGGTGGAAACAGGGTCATTTTACCTATGAACTCAAATAGTATTGTTAAAATTGAAACAAAATAGAAAAAATATATAGAAAAAGTAAAGTATAAAATCTAAAAAATATTGCCAGTTTCAATCTAATCATTGTCATCATGTGTAGCATTTTCTTGTTCCTGAAATAGTTTTTAAACAGCGCCCGGTTCATAACGTATTCAGCGTAGAGCGCTGTTCAATAGTTCTCCACGCAGCTCCCGAACGTAATTTATATATGTTCCATGTTTGTCTCAACTTCGCTTATATTACACGTTATATTAGAGTCTACATCCGTTTCTACCTATTACCTTATCTTTCCATTCATTGTATCGACTTTCTAAGCATGTCATTTTTGCGAAACTTGTTGCTACTAATTTGACTATAAAGAGTCAGCAATGTAAGAATAATAACTCACATCAGGAAAATTACAATACCCAATCCCATATTTATCCGTGGGAACGTTGTTATGTTTGCTTAATCACATAGTTAACACTGTACCTAGGGTATTTTCGTGCAGGTTTTCTCAAAGCACAAGCAAATAGATAATGATTGAGGAACTGCAAGTGAACTCTGTCAGCCTATAATCTCTGAGAATACATTGGTGCTAGATTATGAAATTATGGAAAGTCGCAGGAATACCAGCTCTTATGCTCCAATCAAGGAATAAATGTTTAGGTAAAGTATAGCTTACTGTTTTTTATTTGCATTTTTAAGCGACTGGCATACTATATATACCAATTTCAAGGATATTTGTATATGTTGAAACAAATCACAAAAAATTGGATCTGATAGATCGCCACAAGCAATATTTTACCGGATGTATCCTTATTCTTGAAGATTTATAAATGGCAGTTGTTGATTTAAGTGAGTCTTGTAACGAATAAAAAGCGACAGAAATTGATTTTTCGAAATTTAGCCATATTGAAGTGCGATATTTTGGATTTTGTGCCGAACAATGAGTATAGTACAAACTTGCCTCTGCAGTATATGTAAGAATACTACAAAAAGACTACCCGGAAGGTCATATAAGAGTAGTATAGAGTATAAATTCGAGTGCTGAGAAAGTTCAGAGGAAATGGCGCAAATTTGAGACTACTGGTTATCGAGATCAATTTTATCGATATTGGGATTCGAGAGAAATGATCCTAGGATTTGAATATTTATAATGAGATAGGGTGTTGCAGAAGAAGCCATTAACAAAATTTTACTGAATGCTCCTGGTTCAACAAACAAAATAATGGGCTGTTTAATTATTTTGGCGCAAGCTAATATTGTTCGTGGGTTAAGAGATTTCGTGATTCCTGGTGAGTTGTAATATTTGCGTTGAAGATAACAATAATTTCAAAAATTTGATGAAGATCAACAGAGAAATATTTACCGAGGCTTGAAGATATACATGACATGACATGATCATTGAAAGGTTTCAACATAATATTGCACAAAACGTTTTTAATATATTTGCAAGATATTTTTTGATTTGATTTGAAAAATTCGAAGACTTTTGGCGAGAGTCGGTCATCTGTTGTGCAGTGGTCACCTATTAATTCGATGTAAAGTTTGAAACGTTTCGTAGTCGACAACTTGTTGTAGCTCTTTATTTTAATGCTTATAGCTCGTATATAGATAATGTAGAAAGGAACTTGTTGAAGAAGTAGTGGCGAATATATGCAGACAAGGAAGCAAAGAACAAGAGTTTTAAATAATTACACTGCGTCATTTTTGTATTATATTAAATTTATACTCAATGCTTTTTTTTATAGCATAGAATCATGTTCTGCGTTACTGAGATTCACGCGAAATACCTCACATACATGACATGAGTCACATTTACCTTGCGAAGGATTTCCCCTACGCGATTTGTTGATCCGAAGGTCAATATTGAAGAGGAAACTTACAGAAATGTCCGAATCAAATGTTAATAAACGAATTTATTAACATTTAAACTTATTCTGTTCAAAATATTATCTTAAAAATTAAATAAATATACAAATTCATTAAATAAAAACATTATTAAAAATAAAATAGTATTTAGCTCAAATTTGATAGTTGCTGTATAGTCTTAACTTGTTGTAAATCTGCAAAAGTAGTAATCAAAGAAAACAATTTAAAGATGGATGAAAGTACCAATAAATACAATACGACAAACGCGTAAGTATTCTTTTTATTCCATTTTATTCATTTTTTCATATATTAGTAATGGGTAATTAGTAATAAAATCATACATTGGTAATAATATACGAAAGTAAAGTATGTTTGCCATTTTCTACCTAGGTCTTCGTTTGATAATTATATTGATATTTCTATAAACTTTTGAGTAAATAAATAACATTTTGTTTTGATTTCTTAAGAAACCATGTACGACCCTTCGGCAAAAATGGAGCAATTGCATCGGCCGTTTTTCTTTTGCCCATGTCAGTTTTTGGATTGTTCGCGAACCTCATCACTATAATCGTGATTACAAGATCAAAAAAGCTCTCAAAGTAAGAAAAATGTCGTGGAATATTTTTCTTGTAATTTTTTTTATTAAACAATAAATAGGTATAATCTAGCGCTTTCAGTCTATTAAAAAAGAGATATCTGCAAAGCGAAAGTTTGTTACGGACAGTTATAGGACACGAAACAGACATATGCATTGTTATTCAAAATTGATGTTGTTATTGTTCGTGTTGGGGCTGCTGTTGATGTTCAACAAAAAAATCGTTTTTCTGCGAAACTGATAGAGCAATTGATTTAAAAAAAATAGAGGAACGCTACTATGTCATTTTTTTATACCTTCTGTGACCATTTTTTCAGTTCGAGGAACACTGTTGTATGACATTTGGTACTCACCTTTATATGACAGCTGACGCAAATTTTTCAGCATATCGCAGAATTTCTGCAAACATTGCATTTTGTTATTTGACGTTTGTGTCCATATTTGGTACATACCTTTACATGACATCTGGCACGAAACTTTCAACATCTTGCAGATTTTTTTCTAACATTACATTTGTCATTCGACGTTTGTGTCCATATTTGGTAAACACCTTTACATGACATCTGGCGCAAATCTCTCAATATATCGCATGGTTTTTGCTAACATTACATTTGACGTTTGTTTTCTTATTTGGTATACACCTTTATATGACATCTGACACGAATCTTACAACATATCGCAGAATTTTTTCTAACAATGCAGTAGTCATTTGACCTTCGTGACAGCATTTAAGATTTACTTTCAGATCTGTGTTCAATCTCATGATCGTCAGTCTCTGCGTTTCTGATTTAATCTCTGCAATCATCAGTCCTTTATCTCTTCATAGACGAACATTGGGATATGACCATTGGATATTGCCAGAATTTTTTTGCAAGGTAATATATTTTAGAGGGTAATATGGGTGACTTTACATGGTTTGACGTGGATTAAGATTACTGTTATAAAATGACAAGCAATGAACAATTAAAGCTAAAGAAGACATCCCGATTGAAAGAAAGCATTTATGTGGACAAACTCATACATTATGCATGTTTAGCAAAAATATACTCCGCACTTTCTCAACAATATAATTTGAAAATGGACTTTGTGGAAATATTTTGTTTAAGATTTTAGTTGTGAAAATGCCATTCTGTTACGCATTGTGTTGTTTTGATCTGCGGGGATAAATATTTTTGAATAATCTTGAATATATATATAATAATATATTCAATAACAAATGATTATTTAAGATATATGGTAGAATACAAAAATCCGATCATATAAAATTACTTGAAATATTTTGTTAGTGCAAAACGCTGTTGCGTATACGTTTTTGCAAAAATGACATTGACAAGAAATAAACCTCACAAAGTGAAAGTGAACTGAAACTGATCTTGACTGATGATCAAGAACTTACCTAAATGATTCCTCAGGTCTAATACGATTGTAAACCCTGGTTTCTAGTAACTTGATTACACGCGACTCCGCAGTGCTTGGGGTAAAATATTACATTTTGCAGTTGTTCTGGGCAGCTGACCATTGGACATCTTACGTAACGTCATTGCACATTTTATTATTTGCTTGTATTCGATTGGCCTCTGTAAAATCACCAACAAAATATGAACGAATGAAGAATAAATACGTCAAGGTGAGTTGAAATTGTTACTCAATTATCAGCATCTCCCGAACTTAACTAGTCAAAATTATTACAACACGCCGCCCACCGAGTGAATATGTCGCTGTAGTGGATATTGCCTGAAAAATTATTTTCAAAAGGTATTCTGTTCCTTTACAACCTTTTATTGAATGTAATAAAATAATACTTATTTTTTTTCCTGATTGAATGACAAACAGGCTATTGTTGGCGTAATATGGTCCGTAGCTTTTGGATGTGGATTCATTCCAATGTGGATTTGGTTCGGCGTAAAAGCATCAGATCGACCTATTGATGGCCACGGTACAAATTGGCCTGACTGCACATTATATTATGAAAGGTGCTCGAGGGTTTTCTCATTTTCTGAGTAAATCAATGATATGACTATATTATCTTTCTTCAAATATTATTTTTATTTTCAGAATTGAGCAGTTTCAAGTGTATGTGAAAATTGCGTACACAACTTTCTTTTATATCCCCATGGTTGCAATCCTGATTATTTCTCCATCTATTGCTATAATCATAATGAAACGAAGGAAAAATAGATTACAAAGAAGAAATATTGACGGTAATGTTCTAGTTTTGTTCGAATTAAGACCGTAACACTACGTAAACATATCAGCCATAGTTGCAAATAAATGTTCATATATCTGTAAAGTTAACAGCTATCTGTATCCGTTCGCAAACCGCCCCAGTAAATATAAATTTTTATATGATTTAACTTTTCCATTCATCTTGATGAATATATATAAAAACTTACATACACGACCATCTACATACTTCAATACTTGCACACTGCAAACATGTACATTTGCATACTTGCAATCTTGTACACTGACACACGAACTTGAATACATACATTGCAATTACGCAATATATCGGATCTTTGAATTTTAAAACGAATGATTACAACTTTCAGGTGTAAATGCATGTCCAAGTGAATTTGAGGTGAAAAGTCAAAAAAAGGAAAACAGTGCAATTGTACAACTGGCTGTGATTGTGGGTTCTTATATGCTTGGATATATACCTAGTTCAGGTATAATGAACCGCTGTATAAATTACATATCAAATATTAAAAACGAAAATATAATCATGATTGCAATCTCATTTAGCTTACTTATTGTACGCAACTGCTGCACCTCAGTCAACATTACAAGAACAGATATTTCATTGGAATTTTGGGACTATTTCCTATATTCTTTTACGGTTGTCAGAATGTTTGAATCCAATATTCTACAATGTTGCATCGAGGTATTATTTTTCAATATATTGAACAAAGTAAAAATTGTTGAACGCAGTTTGCCCAGGTTTAAGCACAAATTGGTATTTTCTTAAAATTATAGTGATTACATTTTGACAGACAATTCGAATATCTTCGAATTAATAATTCAGCTTGGCAAATTTTTGTTGTCATCCCCGCAACGTGTAGAGACATAACATTATAATTATGTATTACTCATTCTAAACTATATTGGTCGTTTCGGTGATTACCGTCGTTATGATTATGCTACACTGACTGTTCCTACATTGTCCATTTATTCATATAATAAAATACGTATATGAACGCATTATGCTACGAGGTGAAACTGGTTTATATACGGAGTGATGTTTATCACGTGACAAATGTTTATCACGTTGCCCTATTGTTAATGCAAATGAATTTTTCAGCAAAATGAGAAAAGAGACGAAATCGTTACTACGAAGTCCGGCTAAGAAGTGTTGTTCAAGAAGCACAAATGTTCATTCAGTGTCGAGCTCGTCTGTTATGAATTCACCAAGTAGAGGAATCAAGCTGTAAAATATTTATTTTTCAAGAATTGACCTTGATAAAATTTTACATAAATCACGATTAGTAGCAGAGCAATACTGTAGACATACAGCATATTTGTGTTATTTTTTCAGTAATTCTCAGATATTTCCTTCTCGATTTATTCATAAAAGATCTGTGTTAGTAGTATTAAGAAGTTATGTTTAATTTTTCCAAAAATTATTTACAGTTCGGATATTTCCCCCCTTTGTTATCAATTATTCTTCTATTTTTATTTGAGAGTATAACTGGAAAAAATCCGACAGTTCTATTGATATTTTTTACCAGTACTATAGTATATAAATCAGAGGACATATGTAAATATATATACATAAAACTTAACAATAGTTAATTAGAGAAATATAGGCACATTAACACAGAAAGGTGTCGTTATTTTTTCGCGTTTTCGAATTTTCATGCTTTTGGAGATATTTAATAGTGTTAGATAGAAACGGTTTACTTGATGTATTCCTGGTTGCAATTTTGTTCATTGAGCTGAATTATTTAGCCTATGCTGAAAAATGTATATTCAAATAAACTAATAAAGAATTCATTCTGAATTAGATAAACTTGAGCGCACAACTATTTAGCAATCAATACCAGAAGTGCGAGAATTTATACACATGCAACTACCCCATAAATTTGAACGTGGAATGCATGTTACTAATTTCTTTTATATAATGTTTGGAAACAGAACAAATGCCATCATTCCAAAGAGCACATTTTGCACCATTCATATCTATAGTTAAATTGGATTTAGCTACCAATAAAATTGCAGCATGATATAATAAAAATTTCACAGTAAAAAATACTGTGCGTGGGAACAAGACGGTACTTCCGAAGTATGGGAACCAAGATTGCGGACATCGGAAGGTAGTATGTGTACCTGGTTAGAGTTGGGCCATAATTCCAGGTACAAATACTACGGGACTCACTTGGCTAGTCACCGAACTCGTAATGGAACTAAAATAAGGAAAATTGAAATAAAATTATGACCTGACCCTAACCTAGTACGCATACTACGTTCCGGTGTCCGCATCTTGGTTAAAATACTTCGGGAGAACCAACATGACTATCGCACATTTATTTCTATTTTGGACGTGGAATTCTACAAATAAAGCGAGATACAGAGACTTGATACATTTACAAGTAATTTCCAGATCCAAAAGCAAACAAACTTTATTCCATTCAGTTAGAGATTTGACACTTTCAAATGAGTTCTCGTGACATTGACAGGATATTGGTATCTCGAGTTATCCTGTCTTTGAAAAATATTTTAATACAACTGATTACGTGGAAATATATTAGTCACCTGAACGTTAATTAAAATTAATGATTTGGTATAGGAAGAATTGCTCCGACAATGAGGAAGTGCTATTGACTAAGTCCCTCAGTTACGTCCCTGGTTAAGAGAAGTGACTTCTGGTAATCTTTACCAAATTATTATTTCACCACCTGATATTTTAAAATAGAGATTTACATTTCACTACAAACAAACAATTGTATGCGCGCTAAATTCAGAAATGAGTATATATCACGAGTATAGTACAAACTTGCCTCTGAAGTATATATGAGTAAACCACAGAAAATACCACCCGGAAGGTCTTTTATGAAAAATATAAAGTATAGATTTGAGTACAAATAAGTTTATAGGATATAAGATACAAAAGGGCGGAAATTTGAGCAAACTGGTCATTTGGAATGGGATTCGAGAAAAAAGATTTCGCGCCTGCAAAAATGTGAATATATATGAGATCAGATGTTGTGGAACAATCCACCAACAAAATTTTTGCCGAATTCTTTTGACACACCAGGGGTGGCCAGCACGTAGATCGCGATCGATTGATCGATCGTCACGTCTTGAGTAGTCGATTGTCTTGAACCAGTTTCGTACAGCGCCTATCGTGCGTTTTTAAAACAGAACGAATGTAGTACTGTATATGTGCAAAATACGATATACACATGCAGCAATTGGGTATGGACAAGCTCGATAGAGCATATTATTTTTTTACGTAACAAATCGTCACGCTAATAACCGGATTGCGTAAGTCATTTTAGCAGTTTTAAGAAAAACGTAAAAAACTTCCTATGATACTGTTATGTCATTGGGAGTCAATAATTTTAATCAATAATTTACGACGTCTAATCTAAAAAATAGCTAATCTGTTTCAATTACATTATTTTTTTATGTTTAAAACTCGCTCTGCACACTCACCGAATTAAGACTAAGATTAAATATAAAGAATGAAACAGCAATGCATCCAATATAAAAGCCACCCAAGGTGAATTGGTTTAGGACGGTGAATATCACAAGTGCACGTCTTCCTATACTGTAGTATAAATTCAAATTTATAAGCGCTAAGCTAGAATCCGAGATGCAAAAACTCGAAAATACTTCGCCGATGTTACTTTGCCTTTGTGACGTCACAATAGTCCTGTGATATCAATGATAATTCATTATGACGAAACAATTGCACAAATGTCCAATACAATACAAAATTTCCATTTTTATGAGTTTCAGAATTCTTAAAATAAAATCGGAGTTAACAGACAGGTGCGCAGCATTACATAAATACCTATTTTATAGAAAACTTGAAATCGCCAAAAATGACTTACGCAATTTAGTTATTAGCCTGACAAAATGCAAGTTTGACTACTGCAAAGTTTTAGGAATGAACTTGCAGAATATCGTATGTCTTGACTGGCAAACGATCCTACAACAATTTCTGCACTGTGCGAAAGTTATTGTCTCACTCGAAGAGAAGTGTGATATATTTTGGAATGCCCAATTTTTTTCCAATTCCAAGCGAGCAAAGAATTGGACTTGAATAAAATTGTAAATTATATACTGAAGTTTGAACATTCATGTAACATTTACGGTTTGAGAATATTCATTATTCGCTATTCAGATAATACAAGGATACTTTTCAAGGTTTTTTGAGGAAGTGAAAACACTTATGACTAGAAATTAGACAGGCCGTAGATCTGAATTGTATGATTCAAATAAATCTAAAATAAATGATGAAGCATTTACTCCGGGCACAATCACATAGTCAAATTAATAAATTAAATAGAATATAAAAAATGCAAATTGTGTGGCAATTTCATTGAGAATGTGCCCGCAGAGCCGAGCTTTAGTATGCTTGTGTGCAGTTGTACCGAACAGTCGATCGCGAGCTATTTTGAAGATTCTGTCGAACGCGGTCGAAAGCAAGGCCGTCTAATATTTTTGACGGTTGAAGGCATTCGTGATTCTTGTTCTTGTTGTAATATTCGCGTTGATGCAATAATTAGATGAATATCAAAGGAGTTATATTCACCGGGACTTGAAGATTTGACAAAGCCTGGGCAACAACAAAATTTTTCTATCATCCTGGTAGAGAGGGCATGAGCATTTGAATAAGCATTCGTTAAAAAGTTTGAAATAATATTGCATGCAACGGAAAAGTACATTTTCAATAAATTTTCAAAAGGGATGTTTATAATCCTATCTTACCATAAAAGGTACTCAGTTATAATTGGCGAATAATTGTTCACCATCACGTTAGTAATCAACATACTAATTCAAGTAAGTCAGGTTCGCAATCTTACAAATTTCTGGTCATAAAAACTTATAGACGCAATTAGAACAATTTTATTGAAAAATTCAAAGATTTATTGCGAGAGTTGGTCCTCTGTTGTTCAGTAGTCACATATTAATTCGATGTAAAGTTTAAACATTTCGTAGTCGACAATTTGTTGTAGCTCTTTATTTGTTGAAGGACTAGTCGGTAGTATATGCAGACGAAGCGGCGAACACTAGTTTTAATTATTTGCACCTGCGTCAATTTTGTTTAATAATAAATTTGGACTTAATTCTGTGCTTCTGAGCATAGAATCACGATCTGCGTGAATGAGATCCTCGCGAAACAACTCATATTCATGTCATAACGCAGAGACAAAATTCAGAAACAAAATCTTTTCTACGAATTCCGATTGAGAAGTGTTGTTCCAGAGGCGCAAATGCCAATTCAGTGTAAAGCTCGTCTTAATGTATTCACCGCGTAGCGGAATACCGTTATAAGATATTAATTTTTAAAGTATTGGCCTTGATAAAATTTATATTAAACCACAATTAGTAGTAGAGCTGTACTGTACCCATGCATCATATTTGTGTTATTTCTTCAATAATCCTTAGTTATTTTATTCTTGATTTTTTTCATAAAAGGTAGTAGTATTTTAAGGAGTTGTTTAATTTTTCCGAAAATCAGTTGTTCCATGATATTGTGCTATACAATAGAAATATAAGACACTTATTTTAGAATTAATATTGAGTATAAATCATGCTGTCGTTCAGCATTCCTGTAACTTTTCATTTTTTTACTGTGGAGAGTTCTATCAAGATTTTGTTATCAGTTGTATAGATGTATAAATCAGATGACATGTGTAAATATCTATACATAGAATTTGTATCAACAATAGTTATTCAGTTTCATCAATTTTTGCGCTTATGATTGATCACTTTGAGTGATTTTAAGATCGTTGAAAATATATGTTACATTATACAAATAATAACATTTGTTTAAAACGGTTCATACCCAGAGTACTGGATGTATTCCTGGTTGTAATTTTGTTCATCGAAGTGAATAATTTAGCCTATACTGAAAACTGTATCAGAAATCATTTTAAATAGGACAATCTTAATCGCGATATTTGTTATCAATTAAATTAATAAATTGACTTTTGCTATGAATTACAATATATCGAAATCTGAAAAAATATCGGTTTTGTTATTTTACATACATGTGTTGGAAACTGTATACAGACTGGTTCAGCAAAATCCTATTTTTCAAAACGCACTTTGAAAAAATAATATTTGATGGAGTGCCATCGATCAAGTTGTTTATCGGAATGCGCGTAATTCTATTGCAATCAATACCAGAAGTGCGAGAATTTATAAACATACAACAGAAAATAGTGACATCATTTCAGGGGGCACATTTTGTTCCATTCATAGCTATTTTTAAATAAATTTAGCTTTTAATAAAAATGAAGCATGATAAAATAGGCTACGAACTTGACAATAAAAATCACTGTGCGTGTGAACATGACTATAGCACATTTACTGCTATTTTGGACTCGTAATTCTACAAATAAAGTGAAAAAAAGAGACCTCATACATTATCAAGTATTTTCCAGATCCGAAAGCAAACAAACTTTATTTCATTCAGTCATAGATTTGACAATTTAACGCGAGTCCTCATGACATTGGCATGATATTGATATCTAGAGTTATCAGTTATCCTGTCTTTGAAAAATATTTTAATACAACTGATTACGTGGAAATATATTAGTCACCTGAACGTCATTTCAAATCAATGATTTGATATAGGAAGAATTGCTTCGACAATGAGGAAGTTCTATTGACTAATTCCCACAATTACGTCGAACCCTGGTTAATAGACGTGACTTCCGGTAACCTTTAACAAATTATTATTTTATCACCTGATACTTTAAAATAGAGATTTAGATTTCGCTACAAACAAGCAATTGTATGCGCTAAACTCAAAGGATATATACCATGAATATAGTACAAACTTGCCTCTGAAGTATATATGAGTAAACTACAAACAATACTACCAGGAAAGTCGTTTATGGGTAATATAAAGTATAAATTTGAGTACTTAGTAAGTTTAGGAGGGAATGGCGCAAATTTGAGAATACTGGCTATCGAGATCTAATTTGGATTAGCATTCGAGAAAAAAGATTTCACGCTTACAAAAATTTGATGGACATGTATAATGAGATCAGATGTTGTGGAACAATCTACCAACAACATTTCTGCCGAATTCTTCTGATATACAAAACTAAACGTTGGCCGTCTAATCGGTTTGACGCAAGGGGCCTTCGCGATTCGTGTTGAGGTATAATATTGGCTGAAGAGGATTGCAATAATTGAAGGAATATTAAAGAAATTATATTTACCGAGAACTGAAGATTTGCCAAAGTTTTCACAGAGCCTGGGCAACGACAAAAAAAATTTCTGGTAAAGAGAACGCGAACATTTGAATAAGTATTCGTTAAAAAGTTTGAACATAATATTGCATGCAACGGAAAATTACATTTTCAAGAGGGGTGTTCATATTCCCATCTTATCACAAAAAGTACTCATTTATAATTGGCGAAAAATTGTTTACGGACACCTTAGTAATCAACAATCCCTTTTTGTTTGATGTGGTGAAATGAGATGGGGCGACGTAACATACTAATTCAGGCAAGTCAGGTTCACAATTCTACAATTTTCTGGTCATAAAAATTTATAGACGCAATTGGAACTATTTTTATTGAAAAATCAAAGATATTCGGCGCGAATCGGCCATCTGTTGTACAGTAGTCACCTATTAATTCAATGTAAAGTTAAAACATTTCGTAGTCGACAACTTGTTGTAGATCTTTATAATGACTCGTCTCGTATAGATAATGTTAAAAGGAACTTGTTGAATGGCCATTGGCGAATATATACAGACAAGAAAGGGGCAAACAATAATTTTCACTAATTATACTTGGGTAAATTTTATTTAATAATAAATTTGGACTTAATACTGTGTTTCTGAGCATAGAATTATGATCTGCGTGAATGGGATTAACCGAAATACTTTATATACATGTCATGAGTCAGTTTACCTTCGCAGGCGAAAAATTTTGCTTACGCAATTTGATTATCTGAAGGTCAATATTGAAGAAGAAACTTGCATCAATGCTAGAATCAAACCAAAAATAAACGAATCTATTAACATTTAAACTTTTTCTGTTCAGAATATTATCTTGAAAATAAAATTAATATACAGATTCATCAACTAGGACAATTATTATAAAATAATATTTAGCTCAAATTTGACAGTTGCTCTATAAACGTGACTTGTTGTAAAGCTGCAAAAGTAGGAATCAAAGAAAATAAAAACATTGAATCAATTTGAAGATGGATGAAAGTACAAATGAGTACAATATGACAAACGTGTGAGTATTTAATTTCATTGTATTTATTTATTTCCATGTAAAGTATAAGTTATAAAATCATATATAGGTAATAATATACTAAAGTAAAGTGTATTTGTCATTCTCTACGTAGGTCGTCATAGTTCTGATTTACATTTCTACTGGATAAGCATCAAATGTTTTTTTATTATAACTTTAACGCTGAGTTTTTTAAGCCGCTATTGGAGTGTTTTATTATTATATATGTATTTTTTCTTATAAACTATTGAGTAGTAAAATAGCATTTTGTTCTGATTTCTCAAGAAGCCATGTACATCCCTTCGGAAAAAATGGAGCAATTGCATCTGCCGTTTTTCTTTTGCCCATGTCAGTTTTTGGATTGTTCGCGAACCTCATCACTATAATCGTGATTACAAGATCAAAGAAGCTCTCAAAGTAAGACAAATGTCGAAAAGTATTTTTTTCTTGTAATTTTTTTCTAAACAAGAAATATCCATACATCCAGCTCTTTCATGCTACGGTATTAGGAAAGAGATATCTGCGAAGCCAAAGTTTGTTTGTTAAACGGACAGTTATAGCACACGAAATGGACATATGAATTGTTTTCCTGTATTGTCGTTGTTACTGTTCGTGTCGGGGCTGCTATTGATGTTGAACAAACAAATCGTTTTCCTGCGAAACTAACGCCATTGATTTGAAAATATATATATATATAGAGGAATGCTACTGCATCATTTTTCATCCCTTATGTGCCCATTTTTCTAGTTTGAGAAAACACAGTGGTAAGACATTCGGTACTCACCTTTTTTTGACGTTTGTGTCCATACTAGGTACAAACCTTTATGTGACATCTGACACAAATCTCACAACATATCGCAGAATTTTTCAAACAATGTACCTTGATCATTTGAGATTTACTTTCAGATCTGTCTTCAATCTCATGATCGTCAGTCTCTGCGTATCTGATTTAATCTCTGCAATCATCAGCCCTTTATCTCACCATAGACGCACATGGGGTTTTGACCATTGGATATTGCCAGAATTTTTTTGCAAGGTAATTTATTAAAACAAGCATGAAAAGTTCCGCATCACGTTAATATCTGTGGTAATATGGGTGACTATACATGGTGTGACGTACGTGGGTCATGATTAGTGTTCTAAAATGATGAGCAAGACACGATTAAACCTAGAGGAGGTACCCCAGTTGCAAGAAAGCATTACGGTGAACAAACTCATACAACATGCATTTTTAGTAAAAATATTGTCTGCATTTTCTCAAGAATGTAATTCAGCAGAAATGGAATTTATGGAAATATTTTGTTCAATAGTTGTGAAAATGGCATTCTATTACACATTACGTTGTTTTGATTTGTGGGTACAAAGAATTTTTGAATAATGTTGTGAATATATATATTAATATATATATTCATGAATGAATGATTATTTAAGATATATTGCAGAATACAAAAATCCGTTCATATAAAATTACTTGCAAAATTTTGTTTGTGCAAAAAGCTGTTGCGTATACGTTTTTGCAAGAGTGACATCGGCAAGAAGTAAACCTCACTAAGTGAAGATGAATCGCAGCTGATCTAGACTGATGATCCTGAATTTACCTACAGGATTATCAGGTCCAAAACAATCGTAAACTCTGATTTCTAGTAACTTGATTACACGTGACTCCGTAGTGCTTGTGGCAAAATATTACATTTTGCAGTTGTTCTGGGCAGCTGACCATTGGACATCTTACGTAACGTCATTGCACATTTTATTATTTGCTTGTATTCGATTGGCTTCTGTAAAATCACCAACAAAATATGAAAGATTGAAGAATAAATACGTCAAGGTTAGTTGAAATTGTTACTCAATTTATCAGCATCTCCCAAACTTGACTATTCAAAATTATTACAACACGTTGCCACCGAGTGAAGAAATCGCGATAGTGGACATTGCCTGAAAAATTATTTTTAAAAGTTATTCTGTTCCTTCACAACCTTTTATTGAAAGTAATAAAATAATATTTATATTTTCCATGATTGTATGACAAACAGGCTATTGTTGCCGTAATATGGTTCGTAGCCTTTGGATGTGGATTCATTCCAATGTGGATTTGGTTTGGCATAAAAGCGTCAGATCGACCTGCTGGTGGCCACGGTACAAATTGGCCAGACTGCACATTATATTATGCAAGGTACTCGAACGTTTTTCTATTTTCTGAGTAAATCAATATTATGACTATATTATTTTTCTCAAAATATTATTTTTGTTTTCAGGATTGAGCAGTTTCAAGTGTATGTAAAAATTGCGTACACAACTTTTTTTTATATCCCCATGATTGCAATCCTGATTATTTCTCCATCGATCGCTATAATCATAATGAAACGAAGAAAAACTAGACTACAAAGAAGAAATATTGATGGTGATGTTCTAGTTTTTATTGAATTATACATCTGAGACGTTAAACAGCCTGCTGTATCCGTTGGCAAACCTCCCGAGAAGAAATCGTTTTTATATGGTTCAATTTTCTGTTCACTTTGTTAAATATATATATATATATATATATATATATATATATATATATATATGTAAACTTGCACACCATAACCATCTACATACTTGAATTCTTTTTATACTTGCACTCTACAAATTTGTATATTTGCATCCTCGTACACTGACACGAGCATACCTGTATTTATATAAATTAAAGCATTATCTCGGATCCTTGAATTTCAAAACTTATGAATATAACTTTCAGGTGTAAATGCATGTCCTAGTGAATTTGAGGTGAAGCGTCAAAAAAAGGAAAACAGTGCAATGGTACAACTGGCTGTGATTGTGGGTTCTTATATGCTCGGATATATACCTAGTTCAGGTGAAATATACGTTGTATAAGGTACAACAAACATTAAAAATATAATCACGATTGCAATCTCATTTAGCTTACTTATTGTACGCAACTGCTGCACCTCAGTCAACATTACAAGAACAGATATTTCATTGGACTTCTGGGACTATTACTTATATTCTTTTACGGTTATCAGAATGTTTGAATCCAATACTCTACAATGTTGCATCGAGGTATTATATTTCAATATATTTAAACAAATTAGAATGTTAACGCAGTTTGCCCAGATTCAATCTAAAATTCATATTTTCTTAAAAATATAGTGATTACATTTTGATAGACGGCTTAAAAATCTTGGAATTAATATCGTGATTTGTTAGTTTTCAGTTACTTCAAGAATAAACTTTATTGGTAATTAATTTTGGACACGAAATGGACCGATAGATCGTTTTGTTATGTTGTTGTTGTTGATCAACAAATGCGTTGAAATTTTCAGTGGTAAAAGATTATATTTTTTGCTTGAAGGCTATTAAAAATATCTGTGGCCTCTACAGGATTCGTTTTCTATGTGCGATGAAGTCATTGAAACCAAAAATTACGCTTTTTGTGACGGTCCCAGTTTCGCATAAGTTAAAATATGTTTCTCAGCTGCGATACGGTACCAGTAGGCTACTGTGTTAGTTCGCATGCCCATATCATTTCGTATTCATATATTTGAATCATTTCAATATTATTTTGTTGGACACGTTAGTTGAAATAACGATAGTTTTGCATTTTATGTTGGCAATCTTCTTGTTCCTGTTCTTTGACACGATTTTAGAAAGTCGCGCTCTTCTTTGATTACTGGACCTATCTTTTTAAAATTTTCAGTGCTTGAAGATTAAATTTTTCTCTAGAGGGCTATTACTTTTATTTATTTCAAACATTCCGCTGAGCTGCATGGGATTCGTTTTTATGTGTGTAATATGAAGCTATCCGAATTTGCCACTAGGTAACGCTGCTTGTCCATATATTTGAGCGTAGCTCTCTTGTTGTTCTTGTTTTTCTTCTCCTTCGTAATGACAAAAACGCCTTTCTCTCCGAATACTGGACCAGTGGCTTTGAAATTTTAGTGGTTAAAGATTGATTTTCTTGCTAGAAGGCCATACTTTTACTTATTCAAATTCTGTGGACTCCAAGAGATTTGTTTTTCATGTGTCAGAACAAAAAATAGCTACATATTTCTCTGTGACGTGTCCATATATTTGAGGATAGCTCCCTTGTTATTATTATTATTATCCTTGGGGCGTATAGGAATATATAGGGTAGGGTATATATTATTTTCATGTATTTCTCATTCTAAACTATATTGGTCGTTTCGGCGATTAACCTATAGTCGGGGTATAGTCTGCTACACTGATTGTTGTGAATGTATATGTGTATATGGAGTACGTTTGAATAAAAGCAACAAAATTATCTAGCTGCGATTGTTTATCACGTTGCCCTAATGTTAATGCCAATCAATCTTTCAGTAAAATGAGAAACGAGACGAAATCTTTTCTACGAATTCCGGCTAAGAAGTGTTGTTCCATAGGCACAGATGTCAATTCAGTGTCGAGCTCGTCTGTTATGAATTCACCACGTAGAGGAATAAAGCTATAAAATATTTATTTTTAAAGAATTGACCCTGATAAAATTTATATAAAATCACAATTAGTAGTAGAGCTGTACTGTACACATGCATCATATTTGTGGTATTTTTTCAATAATCCTTAGGTATTTTATTCTTGATTTATTTCATAAAAGGTACTAGTATTATTAAAAGGAGTTGTTTAGATTTTCCGAAAAACAATTATTTCAAGATAATGTACTATACAATAGAAATGCATGACACTTATTTTAGAATCAATATTGAATCTAAATCATGATGTCGTTCAGCATTCCTGTAGCTTTGCATTTTTTTTACTATGAACGGTCCTACCAAGATTTTGTTATCAGTTATATAGATGTATAAATAGGATGACATGTGTAAATATATATACATAAAATTTATATTAACAATAGTTATTCAGTTACATATTTTTTTCGCCTATGGTTGATTACTTTGAGTGATTTTAAGATCGTTGAAAATATATGTTACATTATACAAATCAATATTATTTGTTTAAAACGGTTCATATCCAAAGTACTAGGTGGTTGTACTTTTGTTCATCGAAGTGAATGTTTTAGCCTATACTAAAAACTGTATCAGAAATCATTCCAAATTGGATAATTTTGAGCGCGATAATTGTTATCAATTACCTTAATGAATTGACTTTTGCTATGAATTACAGTATATCGAAATCTGGAAAAATCGGTTTCGTTATTTTACATACATGTGTGGTAAATCTGTTTCTATGATGATTAAACGCGCTTTGAAAAAATAATATTTGATGCAGTGCCATCGACCAAGTTGTTTGTCGAAATGCGTGCAACTCTGTTGCAATCAATATCAGAAGTGCGATATTATATACACATACACAACTAACTACAGATTTGAAAGTGGAATGCTTGTTAATTAATTGCTTGCGTAGAATGTTCGAAGCCAGAAAATAGTGACATCATTTCGGGGGGCACATTTTATGCTAGTCATAGATATTTCTAATAAAATTTAGCTTCTAATAAAATTATTGCATGATAACATATAGGGATGGGCAATATAGAATACCGAATCCGGAGGATTCGAATCCCAAAGTATTCGAATCCAACGGGATCCGATAACAGGATTCGGTTTCCGCCTCTCTGGCGCCAAGCGACAATTTTTGTATTTCGGGTTTCTAATTTATCAATTATAGACGAGCGTTTTTCTCGCGTGGAAATCTCGTGAACCCGTGAATCGGTAAACATAAAACACTGTCATTTCAATCGGCATATTCAGGACAAGAAGTAGGTAATATAACCTCATGGCAAGGACTCTTTATTGCACCATTTTTGCGTTTTCCTTCTTTGCTATCTAGCCAGCGTTATTTGTGCCGACTTACTGGTGATATTCCGATAATCTGAATGCAACAATCTTTAATTGTTTACAGACGTGCCTTGCCTCATTTTAAATTAAATGATTTTTCGCGACCTACGAGTTTTTCCAAAAAAATGATGCACGTAAACCAAAAGCCAGGCGTTAAATGTTATAACATTACTCGCCATTAACTTAGATCAAATATAATTTACGAATAATTTTATTATACCATTTTCCGAAATACAAAGTTATATCGCAAAACGCGAACAACTGTCACATTTAAATTTCACTCTCAAAAGATTACATATTTTTCGGTCCGTTTCTATCGTTCAAGATAGACACACGTTTGATCGTGTGTCTGTAGTATTTTAGTCGCAGATAAATTTTGAAAAAAGTTGCCGCATCTGGCGAAGATAGTGACGTTTTGAATTTGAGTAGGGCTAAGTCTGGGTAGATAATGATTAATGATAACATTTCTATCGTTCAAGATAGACGCACGTTTGATCGAGTGTCTGTAGTATTTTGTCGCCGATAAATTTAAAAAAAAGTTGCCGCATCTGGCGAAGATAGTGACGTATTGAATTTGAGTAGGGCCAAGTCTGGGTGAGTTCTGAAATGAGTTCGTCTTCAGATGTTATTACCTAATAAGTAAGTACGAAATCGCGTTTACGGGAACTTGGTTTTACGTGTCTTGCTCTCACAGAATAAAAGGTTGATTTTAATTGATAGTGGTTAAATTTAATATTTTACAAGGGCGCATAGGTTGCAGTGGCCACACGCTGGTTCAGCATCTAATTAATTCTCAGCGGGTATGTTTTAGTATACTCGGCAGACTTACATTAATAATGATTTACCGCCGTTTCATGTCTATTTTGTATTTAACCGCTTACTATTAAAGTGTGTAAAGCGTGTCTTAATTTAGCATATCAGTATTTAGGGATTACATACATTTGGAACAATTGAAGGCAGAAAATATTGTAAAATTCCTAAATTTTATTGTCCTGGGAACTGTCTGTTTAGTATCAAATGAAATTCAATGTTCAGGACATTTCCAAATAGATAACATATTTATAGTAAGTAATACATTTGCAACTTTTTACCATCTAAATCCAGCAATGTAGAAATTCCCACTATTTGAATAAGTATGAAAATAGAATAGGATTCGGTATTCTGGATTCGATTTAACTATTCTAGAATAGTAAATTATTCTACATTGCCCATCCCTAATAACATACCATCCTCACAATAAAAATCACTGTGCGTGTGAACAAGACTGTTCACATTTGCTCTGAATTCTACTAAGAAAACGAGAAACAGAGACTTCATACATTTACAAGTAATTACCAGATCCAAAAAGCCAACAAATTTTAATCAATTCAGTCAGAGATTTGACATTTTCAGTTGAGTCCTCGTGACATTGACAGGTATCTTGCCTTTGAAAAACATTTTAATTAATACAACTGATTACGTGGAAATAAATAAGTCACCTGAACGTTAATTCAAATCAATGATTTGATATAGGAAGATAATTGTTTTGACAATGAGGAAGTGCCATTGACTACCAGGGACTATTGTGGGAAGTCCCACAATTACGTCGTACCGGGGTTAAGAGACGTGACTTCCGGTAACTTTACCTCATTATCATTTGACACCTGATGTATTTAAAATAGATAATTCTACCCAAGTATTGATAAACGTAGTTCTCCCAGTATCAAACGTGTTGTATGGTCTGTTTATATTACATTTATAGCGACATCTACGTCTGTGTTGTGTCGGCCGTTGATTGATTGCGGGACGGATTGACGCGTTCAAATTTTTGCGCGCTCTCGAGATTCGACATTCTACATGTGACTATCCGATAAGATAAGTTTATTTCAACTCCATAATCAGCATTGAGGCCATTAAATGATTGATAAAATAAAATTAATAAAAACTGATTATGAAATCAGGGGAGCAAACAAAACCTTAGATAAGGTTTAAAACGTACAGAGTATAAGATGAAAGGTTTTGCCAAAAAGAAGTGGTACAGATATTTCATTTCACCACAAAAATTAAAGCACGAAAAACAGTCAAAAGTGTATAATGGCAATCATAAAAATGTAGTCATCATACACATAGGAAATTAATACAACTGAGAGATTCGTAGCAATCAATAAGCGGTCGCGAAAAACTGTGACAGTCATCGGGTCACCGACACCTGTTGGCTGAAGTTCTAGAGGGAATGACGAAATAAATTATAGAAACTTATTCACTAAAAATTAACAGAAAAATAAAATCACAAAATATCACCAGAGTAATAGTAAACGCGGCAGTGCCGTCATGGAGTTCAACTGGTAACCCAGGTAAACCTTTTTCGATGCTTGTTTGTATGCATTATAATTCATGCTTTGAATATTATCAGCCAATGATTTCCATAATTCAACACCCAAATATTTTATGAAATTTTTCGTTAGTTTGGTTTGGTTTGGTGATACACATACTAAGAACCACCGGTAGAAGATCGTGTACTATATGAATGAATGCTTCTTTGCTTATAAAAGTAATCAGCAAATGTGACAGGGAGTTTATTTTTGTGATGTTGGTGCATCAGTTTCAGTAGTTCAATTCTATGAATATCTGTCAGTTTAATAATTTGACGTTTATGGTAGATTGGGTTGAGTTGTTCGTAACGACCACTACCAGAAACAGCACGTGTGGCTCTCTCTTCAATAATCTCAATTTGATGTAATAGAGTTTTATCGGCTGAGCCCCATGCAATAATGCCATATTGAATGTGGATTTGAAACAGAGAATGGTAAACCATAAGTAGAGTTGTTGCCTGTACAAAATGACTAATTTTGTATAGTGTTCCAACCGACCTAGATAGCTTAGTGGCCAAGTTCGGTATGTGAATATCTCATTTCAATTGACTATCTAAAAGTATGCCCAGATATTTGTAAGAACTTACATTTTCTAATCTTGCCATTCTGAATTGACAATTTGATTTGAGTTTTATGTTTATTTGGTGAAATAAGCATAGATTTGGATCTGTCAATGTTCATAGATTAGCCTATTTATTAGCTTTCATCCAATAGGCCACTTTTACTATCTTAGAGTTATCACTTGAATGAAGAGCTGGGAGAGATTTGTCGCCATCAACGGATTAGTGTCATCCGCGAATAATTTTAAAAAGAACGATGAACAATGGGCGAGATCGTTGATGAAGATTAAAGATGATAAAGGCCCCAAATTAGACCCTTGCGGGACCCCATGGGTCACAGGTAAGATGCAGGAGCAGTATTTTCCTACTTGAACATATTGAGTTTCATCACTTGAGAAACTATAGGGGAGTTTATTAGGTAATCCCCTGACACCATAATGCCACAACTTGTAGGTTAGAATATTGTGATTGACGGTGTCAAAAGCCTTCTTCAAAAATTGCACTCACAAATTGTTTCCTTTCTAATTTGTCATAGATAGAAGAGATGGTATCTAAAATAGCGTGTGATGTGGACTGACTGTTTTGGAAGCCGAATTGGTGTTTGTTCATTACATTATGTTTTGTGTAGAAACGTGTTCACTCACCTAGAATTATTGAATCAATTCACACACACACACACACGACCATATGGCTGTAATAAAGTAAGAAAAGAGCTTTAGGTAAAAACAAAAAGAAAAAAAGATTTCGCCAAGCTGATTATAGTTTGAGTCAAATGCCAATCAAAGTTGCCAAAGTTATTGCATGAAGCGGTAGACTAAACCGTTTCACTCACCCACGAATAGCCTAAATATTGCCAAATTGTAGCTCAGGTTAACAGTTTGAGTAAAATTTAATTAAATTAGGGTATTGGTACTGAGGTAGGTATTAGAATATATATATTGGTTATTATGGGTGTTACGATATAACGTAATATATCCTATAGCGCCACCTGTGTTTGATGTCCTTGTAAAACGTGTCATAATGTTAATGTTCTACTGTGCGGTGCTTTCCATGTGTACTGATAACATAAGTTGGTGATGTTGAGTCATGTGTTGAGAACCCGTAAAGCTAGATAGAGAACGAAATAACGGGTGTGAGCAAGGATAAAGGAACACAGCTCAACACACAGTTAGTTCACAGCACACAGCTAACAAGCACACAGCTCAGCTTAACCGCAAGAACCAACCTCCTGCCTCAATCATACTTGGAGTTAAGTGTTTTACTGTTTATTGCTATTTTATATTGTTTTATCGTTGCCGCTTTTAACTAAAGAATATATTACACAATCAAGCAATCTCGTTATTATTAGAGACTTTGAAGCTGACAGTTAAACGAAACCCAGTTTCGGCACGCGCGGAGTCATGGGGAACAACAGCCACAACTCCTACACTACATATCAGGAATGAATGGGTAAACAATTCTATTTTTTTTTTCAATTATAATTAATTATCTTACAATTTTAAATAAGCTCGCCGCTATGACTGTGGGTCATAGATATGTATTCAACGTCTTCAACGGGGAGAAAGTAAGGCAATGACTAATAAAGTAAGACGAGATGAGGGAAAATGAAGTCCTCGGTGGCCCGGATTATTACATGGATAGTATTTAATATATTATCACATATTTATTCGCTAATGAAAGAAAGAAAATTATAAATCGCGTTTAAAGTAAAGTTAAAACTTTACGAAAAATAGAGCCAAAAACACATGATGAATTCGCTGTGTTTAGCAATGTTATATACGACCATAAAGCTGGCATGAGTGGAAGCTCTGGAAATTATCTGCCGTTCCACTGCTGATAAATTATTGCCATAGTTTCCATGTTTTGTCACATAATGACGACTAATGTTGTACTCGTTTAATACCGCAACACTTTGACCACACAGTAAACTTACTACTTTGTTGCCAAGTTTGTTAAAAAAATACCTCAGTATCCAATTGTTAATTGCTCGACACCTTTACGTTTCTTGGGATATTCCATGGGTAATAAAACTTAATATAAAATCTAATTTCTAAAATTTATTTATATTTAGAATATAACTGATAACAGTAGTGGAAAATGTTTGCAATGCTCTCTGCTTTGACCGTATATTGTTTGTTTTTATCACCAGCTCGCACTGACAGTGCGGTGAGAATAGAGCGATCGGAAACTTTCAGGAATGATGCGTCGGACAACATTACAAAGTGTGGTTGGATACAATCAGCGGGCCGGTGAAAGTCTCGTCGCGGAACGGACCCGGCCTTTACCAGAGTGTAGCTATATTGGGTAGGGCTATTTATCACTGGTTAGATTTCGGATAATAGGGTCACTGCCTTTCTGTAGGCCTAGTGTGTATGTATGGAACTTTTAATAAAACAAAATAGGTTTACCCTCATTTTCACTTTCAGTTCAAATGCAGTAATGGACCTATATATCAACTTCTAAGCATGTGTGAAAGCTACACATCTAGCTGGAATATATTCAGAAAGAAAAGGTAATTCCAGTAGTATATCTTTCTTTAATGCTACAATACTTATAATATAATAATTCCCAATATGGGAATCATTACTCTTGCTACATCAGATCAGGAAGCGTTTAGATTATGTTTTCAAATATTCCATATCTGATACAACAACATACAAACTATTTATCAAAGGTGTATATTGATTTTTTTTAACATCTAAGAAAAAACGAGTTTACTAATTATTGCGACATTCCGTATAAGGGTTGACACGAACCTTAGCTAACACCCTCAATTCTATCATTTATTTCAATCCACTTTGGATTCTCTGTTGACCACCCCTCCACAGTCCATAATTGAGATTGAACCATTTTTTGTGAAAACTTTGTTGACTTCACATTTTGTAAAATTACACAACATAGGTATGTTTTATCAAAATAGTAGATCATTTAAAATTGAAGTGCATTTATATATATTAAAATATATAGTCAAGAAAATATCGATAGCATGACTTGAACTTGGTAAAAATATAATCCTATTTCATTACAATATAAAAACGCTGCTTTGAACATTTAAAAAATAAAACTGTATTGTTATATAATGTGGGTATAATAGGTATAAGTCAAAAATTCTGTCGAAAATTATTATAACAGATGATGGAGATGCGACCGACATGTCGACTCGTAGATCAGAATCTTACATATAAATTTCTGATATAGAAAAAAAACAAAATATTCCTCAAATATTTTTACGTGAATAAATTGATTCTTTTACTTAGTCATTGCCTGAATTATCTACTTCCACATATTGATGAGGACGTCGATCTGCTTCCGGTAACCGGTCGATCGCTCGCAGAAGTTCTAGATGAAGCTCGAGAAGTTATTGGAGGAAGAAAAGTCCCTCGACGTGGTGATCCATGACGTAAATTCCGCCTGGATGAGAGTTTTCTTCCTTGTCGGTCTACCCCAACTGCCGATTCACTATCGTCACCAACTTCCAATAAGTTACTCAAAGGTAGTTTCCCTAGGTCTTTTTCGGATAAGCATGCCATTCCTAAAATAATATAAAAATTCTGAATATCAATTTTGCGCAATCCAACATAAAAAATGATACAAAATCCTCCACAGAGACTGAAAGCTGTTCTTGGCCACCTGAATTTGGATCTAGCTGGGTTTAGATAGCTGAAATTAGCCTACTCTATTTTTCTCTCCATAAATTAATGCTCCTTATTATATTAAGGCTTAGACTGGAGGCTGAGACGTTTCAAAAAAGGCCAGTGAACTATTTATTTATTAATGCTTGTTATTTTCCTTTTCAATGGCAGAGTAAAAATTCTTAATTGTATTTTAACCTGTACCAAAAAGTTGAAGAATTATCTATCCCATAGGTTAGAACAGTGGTTCTCAAAGTGGCCAAAGAGATGAACCAGGCGACAAAAAATTTAAAGGGGGCGACAGGGGGCGATTGCGCATTCTCGAAAAGTCAAATATGGTTAAAATCGCCGAAAGTTTTCTTCAGTATGACGAGGGTAATTAGGCCGTAAACATTAGCATTACCGTTATATTGGTAAACTATATTTCCGCGAATTTTCCCTATCTCACAAGCATTCATTCCCCTTGGACATGTGCCAGAGGAAGTCGATAAGGAGTTTTTTCTAGTTCGTAACTGAGCATAAACTGTGGAAAACTCGTTATTATGCGATCATCTAAAACGAGACAACAAATACAACCCCTAAGGATTCAATAAGCAAATCTCATTTTATCTGGAAAATTAGAAAAAAAGAATATTGAGAATAAAAAGCGGTGTCATATTCTATGTATATATATATGAAACATAAAAAAAAACATAAATTTTGTGTTTGAAGTGCCGCAACAAAATAAAAATTCTTTTTTAGACGTGGTTAAATCGAAAAATTTCGGAATTTTCGATCGGAAACTATACCGTAATCATCTGAAGTTGGTCCATTCCATTATGCATAATCCAATTACGAACGAGTCGCACGCATACAACTTCTTTCCTTATTGTGATAATGATATAAAACTAATAAATTTTATCGTCGACCTTGAAATTTTGCTAACGGCGATATTTTGAAAATAATCCTGAGCGGCTCAAATTTAACAAATTACTAAGATCGCAAAATGTGAATCAATTCTACTTATAATCCGGCAGTATACCACATATTTTTATGTGCGCAGATTGCAGTTAAGAGCAATAATACTTTTAAATTATTGTAAATAGGTGTAACGGCAAGTTATGTTGAAAATAATTAAAATATTATAACAAATCCTTGTTAATACTCGTATCGGCCATGAACCGTCTATTTTGCGCAACAGAAAAATCATCATTGGCAAAAAAAAAACGGCAATTATCGCCACTCTAACATCGTATTTGGTAAGAACGCGGTCATCAACTCGAAGGATGATGAAAGTGATGATTTGAGATTGCACCTGACTAAATGTCTTCAAATGAAAAACTATTTTGAAATTTGGAAATCCATCTTATTAAAAACATCATGCACCATGATTAGTCTATTCGTTTCATAGATTTACAATAAATTTGCTTGTAACTTCATGTTTCGTTGTAATGCTGGGGGGCAATGATAACGTAAAAAGTACTGTGGGGGGGGGGGGGGGGGGGGGGCGGACGACGGTGCAAAAAGGTTTTGAGAACCACTGGGTTAGAATACCGTTTCGTTTTTAAAATACTTTAAGCAAAACGCAATGAAGTTTTTCTGTCTCATATTATTGCTGATATTAACAGCATTATGAATATACATTACCTCGATCTTGCATACGTTGAGACATAGGTAGGCCCGACGAAAAGTCTATTTTCTTGGTGTCCTGTATGTTAAAAAGATTGAGTTTAAGAATTTTACAATATTGCATTTTTTGATAAGTATATATATACTAAACAATGGGATTACATACCAGAAGTGTCTCCATAGACATACAAATAGATAGGATATGAATTTCATATATATATATTCCGGGTAATTTTATTAGGTTGAACAATATTGCAGAATCCGATATAGTTATGAAGTTTGAATATAGTGATGGATAAAAAATTTGATACCGGTATAGATAAAGCTTGGAATGGAGAACATAAATTTCCGAATCGAGAAGTTGTGTTTCGGTCGATATATCCAACTCTGTATCGTCTTTCTTGTCTGGTGACTGTCCGTCGAGCAAGATGTTTTTCTGCTTTTTCACCAAGTATTTTTTCCTTGAACATGAAAAAAAATTTTAGGTAAACTTACGTTTCGAAAAAGGTAATATATAAAATGGAAAAGTATGTGAACAAATCGCCATTTTGTCGCAATTAGGATGTTTAACTTTTAAAAAATGTTGGCATCCTACTTATGTAAACACACTATTGCGCAGTGACTTTGTAAATGCACTTAAGGTCGTTTTCATTTTTCATTTTGAGTACCTTCGGAAGTTGAAATTGGCCAATAGTAGTAGATCTAGATTCTTTCCATTTCAGTCTTGTTTTTTCCACGTTTCTTGGATTCCCACTCACGTCAGGATGAGACGTCATACGTCTCTGATTAATTCTTGTAGAATCCTGTGGAGGAGCTGTCGCCATTTCGACTTGGTTGAGTTTGTCGTTGTCTTCGTCCACTTTTGGAAGTGTAAATTTAATCGGCGTGTTCCCCTGTTTCGTATCTGATGAAGTATCTGTATCTGAATAGAAATGAAGTAAAACAAACAATACCCTTGAATAACTTGCTTCGAAATGCCGAAAAAACGGGAAATATGGGATACATTTCAGGCATTTTGATTGGTTATTTTCAACAATGTGACGATTATGGTTTTGTGTTCGTATCGTTCGAATAGTCGACTTGAATCAGTAAGTGATCATTTTAATTAAAGCATGTATTATTTTATTTTTTTAACCTATAAAGCAACTTAAGTACGTAACTTTTCGTGTTCGTGATTGTATTCTTAGCCCCACAAACTCTGCATTTCTCATCGTAGACAGCTTCTTTGATTCAAATATTTATCTTTTAAAGGCCAGCGCTAATTAGTTCAGATTCAAACAATAATGATGGTGCATTCCATGGAAGTGATCATCAAAAGTAACAAAACTGATTTTCATCGTATTTATTAAATCCAAGCCTACCCTCGGACTTTTCTTTGTTTTCTTCTATTTCTTTCTTCTCCTCAGCTGCATCAAGCTCATGTAAGTTTTGTTCGGACGATGATTTTGTTACTTCAGCTAAAATATTGAAACAAAATTCTTCATTACAATCGTGTTTTGCTTCACTTTTGAAGTAAGAGTTGAAATCCATAATTGAAAAATGGAAGATAAATATTCAAATAACTTACTCGCTAAATCAGGCAGTGGATCAATAATTGGGACATCTTCGACAAGTTCGCCCCATGGGTTTCTGCAAAATATTTTGAACACTCAATAACTCTTTTTATTATGTGTACAAAGCATCAAACTTGTTGATCATATTTGTCAAAATCATGCCCAAAGGAACATAATTCTTCTATTTATAAAATATTAGAAATAAATAAGAACAGTATACTTGCAATATAAAAGCATATAGTATATTGTAGTGACAGTTGTGATAAAATTTCCAAATCTATTACTGGGATAGAAAAGAAGTTATACGACTTATATTATTATGTGAAACCACGACTTATTGACTGGAAGCTTGTTCAGATTGGGTATATATATAGTAGTCTACATACGGTTAGACTCTTTATACTATATGTAGTTAGATATATAGTTTAAATCAGAACGTATGTCATTGTCAAATTATTAGGCACTGAAGTAAAACCATCTCCATTCGCGAAAACATACATATTTAAAATAAGGTCTTTTTGCAATCGATCACTTATGATGGGCTAGGAATTCATTAATTCGACTCCAAAAAATTTAAATTGTATAACTATACAATTAAGAAAACAGAGCAAATTGTGAAATTTTCGTAAAATATCAAGTTTCAACCCTTATTCTTTGATGTCAAAACGGTTCATTGAAAAGTACCTTGGGTGTTGAAAAGTAGCAGGACGTTTTAGGTCCCATTTTCTTGACTGTCCAAATGTACCAACAAACTTTCCTTCTAAAGTCCATAATCTTGCTGTTTTATCTGTTGATGACGTCACCAGCAATCCTTGGAGTTCATAGTCGATGTAATTAACGTTAACGATAGACTTGTCGTGTGCTTTCCAGCGATATTTTAGTGGAGGTTTTGTTGTCACGCACTGCACAAATTTTTTGGTTATATTAAACAATGATCCTATGTTTTATACTAACTCATATGTCAAACATATCCTGAGTTCCATTTGTAGCTATCAGTATTAGATTGTAGGCTACTTTGCAATCAAAGAATCGGACAGGATAGCGTAGAATTAATTCTTCTTATTTATCACGGAGAGAAGAAAGTGGTTAAGACGGATAAAGTGACGAACCAACTTCTCTTTTATTAATGCCATTACCTGAACGGATTTAGGAACAGGTAATAAGTTGAACGTTCCGGATTATTCAGATTGTTTGTCGAAACTTATAAAAGACCGGCGGTTACTACTCTATTGAAGTATTGAATGAGAATGCATTGGTTCTTCCGTGTATCTTTTTCTTTTATTATTATTATTATTAGAAGGAGGAATACAAAGCACTTTGCAAAATAGCATTTCGTGCTGAACAATAAAAAATATGTCACACGAATGTGGTGAAAAAAAAAAACACTTTACATTATTTTATTGCAGTAAAATTCCACACACCAAACCACGTTATTTTATCAATTCTTTACAGCGATTTTTTGCCATGGCGTGAACCGGTTTGTCAACAACTGTGTTGCTGTCAGATTTTGTTTTGAATGTATCTTCAACTTCCTACGGTTAGACATTAATTTGTAAATTTTTCACAGGTAATTTTTGCTTAAGTGGGTGAAAACTGTGTAACAATCATCTATCTGATTGTTAAATCTATCTTAGGCCTGATGGAATTGTATCTCAGATACCTCGGATATATCACATAGGCAGTGATTTGAAATGTCCCAGACCGTCACATTGCCCTCAATGTCCCCTGTAATCAGAACCGAATTGTCGGGCGAAGTTGACATTCCCAAAACTGACAAATCTGATTTTTCTACAGCTGAGAATTTTCCTAAAATGAGAGAATGAATAAGAACTAACATGGATCAATAATAAGTGAAGAGTTGCGAATAGAAGAAAATAGAAAATACAGAAAGAGCAAAATAAGTGACAAAAATAAAGAGGGGAGGGTATTAGGAAGATGAATAATCGGATAAAATATGAAAAATATGGCCCGTGTAGGAGTATGGTGAGAATTGTTTCGAATGGGGAAGAGTAGAGAGTAGGAGTAGTAAAATAACAGGAACAGAAAACAATAAAAGACTAAGAAAAGGGGAATACGTACCAAGTAAATTATTGTGACCAAATACACACCACATATGAATTATCCCACATTCACTGCTTAGCAGGACTGCACCGTTCTTATATTTTTTCGCAAATCTATCTTGAAGAAATAGAAGTTTTTCAATCGGTGCGGACCTTGCACTGAAAAAAGAAATTGTTCAACTGAAGTTGTTCTCCTTCCAACAAGAAATATATATATATATATATTGTGAATCTTTCGGTATTTTAGCCAACAAGCATTTCAATCCAATCATTCATCTAAAAACTCACAATGAAATCGTTTACCTGCTTCCATCTCTAAGCTTTGTCGTGATCTGTTGTGTTTCTTCGTTCCAAACAATTATAGTTCCGTCATAACTTCCGGTTGCTAAATAATTTGGGTCACAATGATCCATTGTCAATATATCATCCTGAAGTGGTCAAAATTATATTTTGTTTAAATACAAAAATATAAAACATTAACCATAAGCTGTATGTACATTCTACGTTATACTCACTTTATGAATCTGTCCGCTTTTCCAATTTGTACTCGCAGTTACGTATACTATCTGCAATAAAATATGCGAATATATAAATTCTTATTCGAGTCTGTAATAGGACTCCTATTTATTTATTTATTAATACTTTGATCATTGTTATTTCTCTGTATTTTATTATCATAATCTTTGAGTGAGATATCTAGTTTCAATGAGCCATAACGTTAAGTATGAAGTTGATGTTTTTGATTTGATCATATAATTTGGACCCTTTCAAGTGGCGATGAGACAGCGAAAGCATGAAATTTTGATAATAACAGAATGGAAAGGTAATATATTCAAACCTCCTTCAAAGCAGTAAGATAAATTTGCCGCGATTAATGTATGGTTACATGGAACGCCGAAAGAAGTGATGCAGAATGCTCAACATAAATTCACGAGAAAATTCATTGATCGAAATTCTTGAAGCGATCCTTGATAACATTTACAGTCCATACACAATGACGTAAGACGTTATTTTGTTGTTTTTCCTTATTACTATCACTAATATCACAGGAGCCAGTTCATCAATATCGTTAAGACGTTATGGTATACTCCATGTGCCTATCGATTGTGCATCCATTTTCGAGGATGACTATAATCTACACACAGCGTGACACCTCAAATACGGGACTCATAAATATGTTTAGAACTTCTACAAAAATTTATTAGATTTCGTTTATGCTTAAACTTGTGTTTGTATATAATTGTACCCGAAAACGTCCAATATTCCTGATATTTTTGGGTACAATCATACACAAACAGAAGTTCAAGTATAAAAAAAATCGGATAATTTACTCCATTTTCACGGAAGTTATCCATTTTTGGGGTCACCCTTGTATATCCAATATCATATCGCTCTGATTGATAAAAGTTACATAAGTACCAAACGTCAATAAGACTTACATCAGGATCCGAATCGTCGTACAATGTAATGCATCGACTCCAACCAACAGCAAGTATTTTTTGGTCCTGAAAGGACATAATACCAGTAACCTCCGCTTCAGTAACAGATTCAAACTCGTGTAAACAGTTTCCATTTTGAAAGTTCCACGCCTGTTAGATTATGCACAAAAAGAAAATATTTTATAATCGTTTTTTTTTCAGTTCCAAGTTAGAAAATTAAATAAATTTAAAACTTAAGGAAATGCTACCTAGTTTTGGTTTATTTATGTAAGTTTAATTTGGTTTACGTCATCGGGCAATTGATAAGCTCAAATTTCCGATTATTACCTAGATAATTGTATTTGAATAGATTTAATTGTAATAATTATTTTAAAGGCATATATTATTAACGCCTCAAAATTAGCATTAACTATATCTCTAATGTTAAACAATTTAACGTTCATAAGATTTGATTTATAAATAACAACGTAACTCTGTAATAATTAAAATTCGCACTTCTATGTATAGTTTTTACCTTTTTTCTATATGTATGTGTTTCAATCAAAGCATTTGAAGACGTTTATGTCTAAAGGATATGATGTTTAATTTAAAATGTTTTATCCTAATAAAATTACGGCTTTTTCCGGTACTTTTTTTTAGCTCAACCAGCTGGTATTAGTTTAATTAAGTCGGGAAGTAATTAGCACGTGATTGAACATATTTAATCTGAATAGTCATCATTTTTTTTAATTATTGGTATTAACTTATTTTTACGGGAACTGGGTCATAAAATTACTGTATGGCATTTGCAGAATTTTTCACATTCAAAGATAGAACTTTTAAAAACAATTCATGGAAATCGTTTGAAATCGTTGAAATAAATGTTATAATGTTTATTGCTAATTTGTACCAACAATTTGAAATCTAGGATAATTTCATACATTAACTTGAATACAGATGTAACTCTGTAAGAAAACCATTCTGGGCTGCCTAATTTGTTTACATAAAATGTTCCTATCTTTTTAACTTGGGATTTTTATTAAAAATATTTCTGTAACATTTTAGTTTTGTGGTATTTCCTAATCAATTAAACAGGTTAAAACTGCTCCAAAGTCATAATGATTCTTTATTGTTTTTCACTTCGTTGGTCGCCCATGATGATTACTTTTTAGAGCAAATTGACATGAAAATTATTAAATTATTCACCTTCATTGATCCATCTCTTGCACCCGTGAAAAGTCGCCTGTATGTCTTATCAAAAGATAAACACGTGATTTCTTCATTCTCGTGAGCGTTGCTGAATTTCAGAGATCTTGTTCCATTTTCTACATTCCACACTGTGACAGTTGAATCGTCAGCTGCTGTTACAACCTGTAAAATCAATGAATTTTATATAAAACTTTAATGAGATATTTGTGAATATAGTCAATACACGGGAAAAGAGTATTACGACGGAAAGAGGGAGAATAAATAACGTTTTCAGTATAGACTAGTTATAGAAACATTCAATTTAAAATATGCCTTCATACCTGATGAAATAGATCATTATATATTGCATTGCATAACGCCGCTTTGTGAGTTGTTGGGGCTTCAGGTGCTGGTTCTAATTTTCCCATTTTCAACAAAGCTATACAATCATTGCACGAAACTAACATCAGGTTATGTGGTCGCTCGAAAAGGCTTATGGGAAATTCGCCTGCAATGTGATACAAGTTTTATTTTATTACTGTTTGTGCTATGAGACTGGAAACAGTGTAGAATGTTTCAATATTTTGTGACAATGCCAAATTTAAACAAAAAAAAAGATTATTTCTGGAGTGAGCACACTCACCGTGATCTGGAATACGGCCTGGTTGTACTGATGGGATTTTCAGTGTTATAGTTTGTATACAATAATGTTCCTTAATATCCCATACCTTGATAACCTGTGTAAATACCAAATACAAAAGTACATTCAACAAGCAATAATACATCAAATCGTGGACGTATCATTTGAGAAATGAGTAATTAGAGACGAAGTGGATCTATGGATCGTTTTATTAAATTGTTGCTGTTATTTTTATTCTGTTGTGCTTTTCTCTTTAATTATTTGATCAAATGCTTCTTTCCAATGGTTAAAGATTGTTGTTGTCGCTAGAAGGCTGTGGCATTTGTTTTTCACTTTATTGTGTGTATTCAGTATTATTGAAAATTGCGCACCGTGTGGCGGTTCCGCGGTCGCATTTCAGCGATTTAGGGGTCAGCGGATTAGCTACTTGATGACAGGAAAGACTACGGCTAGTGAGAAAGATATGATTCTACTTTGTTTTGGTTTCGTGTCCATACATTTGAGCATTGCTCTCCTGCAATTCAGAATAATAATGGTATTCGGATTAATAAGCAAACCAATCATTCATGTTTTCATAAGTTCTATGTTAAGTTATGAGACTTTCCAAAAATAATCGAACGAAACTTTTTTCTACGTTAATTGTAATAGCTTCTAAAGTTTCCATACTCAGGTCACAGACAATTAATCAATTTTAATTTAGAAATACCTTTACTATAACATGGATGAACACTACAATTGTTCTAACATTCCCAATCACCCTGTAATCAGGAAACGGGTTAGTGGAAATGATCAATTATGGTTTATGGAGAATTCCAACTCAAGCCATATTTGTTATTATTCGTTCTACGTTGCCGTAAGTTTATTCAACTTTTTATTAAAAGCCTGTGTATTCTAATTATGAGCTGGGGTTACGCGAGACTACATACATACCTATGCTTCCTCTATGCCTTCATGCTATAGAGGATCAGTATAGAGCAAGGGTACTTTAGCATGAATAAACATGACTTTACTACGCAATTCAAGTGCCCTGCTGCACACTAACGTTTTCTGGGACGTTTCGTCTGACGAAAGTCAGACTACCTCAGACAAGAATTTTACAGCAAATACATTCTACAGAATTACATTTGTGTTAGTGTGCAGCAGGACTCTTGAATTGCCTGTGTATTGTGTTGCATTATCTCATTCTTTCATTTTTGCTTTGCGATCGTATATATTCAGACGAAATGTAAACACCGTTCAATATTAAGGGGGTGCAGATCTTTGGCCACTTGTGAAGGGAACACAATGGGAAAGGGAAAGTTTTTAAAAGCTTTGTTTGGTTTGTAAACGATAATGTGGGCCGGATACATACAAAGTCTTTTTTGAAGATTTAAACCTTTGTTTCGCCGTAAAAACAAACATAGTATATATCGCGATGTTTTATATTTTAGGTTTCATATACGACATGAATATATTTTCCACATTTGACGAGTGGGTATGGCAATTTCCAAAATAAATCTATTAGTAATGATGGAATTCTATCAAATTAATAAAAAGACTTTACCGCGTCTTTTGAATAGCTGATGATCTGCGCATAAGAACGGTTGATGACAACATCACATATTCCTGTACTGTGGCCTTGAAGTAAACATATTGGTTTAGCTTCAACGTATGGATTCCAAATTCTCACAAAATGATCCAGACTACCCGTAACCAAAACGTTTAGACTCTTGCTGTAGTCAAAACATTCTACACCCTGAAATAAATAAATTTCTTTTTAAATGTCAGCTTGTCCAATTAGAAGCTAGTTCCGTTAAAAAAAACAAGTGCAGTGTGACAATGGGTTGTTTTTATATTATATTTGTGAATGGTCGATCAAGTGATTGATAAACGTATGGATTCGAGGCATTCACGCTAGTGCAAAATTTTCTATTGTTTAAATATATTGTCACAGTTCTGTTTCAACGCTCATAATTTGCGCAAGTTTTAAAATTTGCTTATTTGTTGCAGAAATAAAACGAAATCTTTTTCATTTTCAAAAAAGATTGAACAAGGCAAGCGTATAAAGGCATATTATTACCTTATTTACTTTGTAGATATATGTCTTCTTTTTCTTTTTCAAGTCCATGAGAACAACGGATGTGCTTGACGACACTGATGACGAAATGATGACGTCACCGTCAGCTACGTACATCACTCTTCGAATAACTTCTTCATGAATATTGGGAATAAACTCATATGTAACATATCGTTTGTGTTCCTTTATATCCTTGAGTGAAAACGGACTTTTATTCAGAAATGATTCTATTGCATTGATTATTTGCTTGACTATCCTCCAATAATATTGAGGTACGTAACAATTACAATATAAAAGAATAATACATACTCACATTGAAATATACTCTTTGTGTCCCTTGTTGCGGACTGAATGGTTTTTCAAAAAGTCTGGATTGCGGGAAATGAAAATGAAGAATATGGACAGATCCAGTGTCATCACCAAATAATAGCATTGAATGTGAATTTGTTGCATTTTCGGCATACCAGAAATTAACACAGTTGGGAACATCTGGCAACGCTGTTCCAAGAATAGTTTTTAGATGTAAAAAGAGAATTAATTTGTGCAACCAAAAAGAAGAAGAACTGAATTGCCGATGTAATTATTTTTAAACCGCATTCGAAATAGTACACTTGAGTTTTAAACACGTATTTTTTTAATTGTCGTTTTTAGTTTTTTTTTTTTCTATAAATATTTGATAAATGCTGAGTGGCAACCCAAACACAATAATTATTTGTAAAAGACCTTATTTTATATCCACCAATATAGTATTTAAGGCATTTTTACTCAGTGTCTATCAAGCAAGCTGATCGATCGCTAACAGTTACGTAATAGAAAATTATATCAGCATTTCGTCAAACCTCAAATGCAATCTCGAGGCAAGGTTTCAATCCACCGCCTTACATATCGGTATCATAAACCGATTGTTCATGCTCAAAATTAGCCTTACCATACAAGCAGAATTCTGCGTAGTAAGTTGCGGTTGAAGTATCATAAAAATAGATTTCTCGGCTAGTTGTAGTCAGGGCAAATTTTTGTGCGTTCCTCATATAGACTCCATCAGTCACCCACGTATGGCAACGACGCCGTGAAACTGCATCGTCAGCGCTGAAATTCGATCCAAGTTTGTAATTCTACAAAAGCAAAACATATTTGTAAATCAAATATATATATCAAAATTTTATGATTAGTTGATTTCAGATATAAATTCAACAAATTCAAATTCAGAGGACACTTTTCCAAAAACTTGTTTCTACGCTGACGCATAAGAGCTATAGAGCTACAATATTTGATGATTTGATGAAAAAGCAAACCGGCGTAGCGTTTACGAGTGTTTAGGGCGTGAAAACAGTCTTAACTACTATAACTGCATAAGATGATCTACGCGCTGGTCTTAAGGTTATCGATGCTACCGTATTCAAAAGCATACAAAATCATATTTAAATTCAGTTTGAGATATTGAGATTTCAACGATTTCATCATATCATTTAATACCTAGAATTTGAAATTGCCCATAATTTACTGACATTTCGCGTCTTTCGATCCATCCATTTCGCCGCCTCAGTACCATAATATACAAACCTTTGTGTCGTAACAATAGAATCATAAAGTATTCTTAGCGTGCCAGTGTTTTTTTTTCGACTCTCCCGTCAGCAATGTTTTCACTTTAATTTGAGAGAATGCGACCTTGCTCTGAATTGTTTTAGCACATTAGAGCTCTGGGAAGTTATAAACATTAATAGTATATCATAAACGATTGTTCTTTGTGACATATAAATTTGCATTGGAATTACAATTAAAGTACAAACGCACAGAATTTGATACTTACCTTCAACAGACGAAGTTCTGTGTCGTAGACACCAATATCACCCACTTTACTGATATTCACTATTCGGGTTGGATTTTCAACCAACAACATTTTAGTTGTTGTTTCTTGCTGTAAATTAGGATTTGAGAAATTGACGACGTTACGTTATAAGGTAACTTTAATTTTAATAAGAAGTATCGCATTTTATATAAACAACTATGAAAATTGGGATAAATATATACCAGTTGAACTGTTGAACACGTGCCATATTTTCTTATTCCACCTGGGGGCTGGTCAGAGCAGTTAGTATCTCATTATTAACATAAATTATGTATCTTATATCGCAAAGCATGTAAACTATTCTAAGTTGAAGTATGTAAGTGGCACCCAAATTTCCGATTAAATGTATACGGTTACCTTATTATGATAAGCTCGTTTTACTATTGCTTCCGTAGTGAAGGGTTTCAATTTCGCGTTTTGTATATGCTCCAGTTCTCGCATTTGTAAGAGCATATAAGTGCAAAATTCATTCCAATCAACGTATCCATCACAACCCGTATCAACCTTAAAAGGGAAGATAATTGAACGTGAATTCATTACATATCATGTGTTTTTAAATTCATCGAGTTAAAAAAGGCATCCTTTTCTATATGCAAATGCCCAACACAATGTATCCTTTAAAAAAAAGTATATCAACATGACGTAATTGAGACGATATACCGTTACTTTCGCGGTTTTAGTCGCGATGAAACTGGCTTGGAAAGCTTGAAAAATCTTTTTGAATATGATATTTTCATTTTTGCTCCAATAAAATTAAATATCGTCATTTGTTGGCGACTGCATGTGTCATCAACCCGTGGCCGCCGTCGGTGGAAGCCAACAGAGTTTGACCGAACGCTCGTGATGATTACAAGCATGACGATTTGTCTTAACAACCGTGCAAATTTTTTTTTTATTATTGTTTATACCATTAGAAGTTACGGAGTGGTCTGCTACAAACAGGTTTTCTTTTCCGGAAAATGGTTACGTGTTAAATTAGATGGACTGAACTACATGTGAACGTGTAACATTAAATATCAACATAAATTCATAACGATTTAGAAAATCTTATTTAAAACAATATCAGAAATAATGAAACATCAACTACATTCTTCCTGTTCTTTCCTAAATGGTCTAAAACAAAACAATTCTACGCTGCATGTACCTCAATACGTATTCGAAAAACTGAAAATTTCATAAATGGGATTGGAAACATCGCAATAAAAGACGTTATATTTACCATTTTTTTCGCACCAAACACTGGTTAATTCTTGTAAAATATGTTCCCTAACCTAAATTCCCGAATGGGTTCATAACATAACAATTAAATTAGCCAATTCACGATCAAAATAGTCAATCGCGTCTGGTTTGGCTTCATTTCTATGGTATTAGAAAAAATTAAATTGCGTCAATCGTTTCAAGTGTCGCTTAAAGTTTTGAACTTGCCGAATAACAATAGAATGCGGCGTCGCATCAGTATACGAATCGTTATATATGGTTAGTGTTAACCTGCATGGCAAAGGTGATTATCTAGTAAGCTAAAAGCAAATTACCCCGCCAACTTTATAGCCGGACAACTAACCTTGTAAAACAACATTTCCATTTGATCATTCCATTTTTTTGTTCCCAACATGGATGATATTATTACTTTAAATTCTGCCAAAGTCATCATTCCTGCTTTTTGTCGAACTTTTTCGGAGCTGTCATCTTTACTTTTTTGCAAAGGTATCCCTGAAATGAAAAAAAATTCAAACTGATTTAGAAATTCATTAATATTTTTTTTTAACGTACATATAGGCGTTTAATTAATATGCATATACATATAATGCTTTCAGGATCAAAAAATTAACAAAAGAAGTAACGTAGCCGTAAGAAATAACTAAACAATTATTTTAACGTCACTTCAAATTAGTTAGACACAATGGATCCCAATTACTGGTTGTGTACTCCAGTTGTGTCCTGCATACATAATTTTATCAGTTTCAGTCATTTTTTCAAATGGTAGTCCCCGAAATATCGGAAGATAAATGACTTTCTTCTTTTTACTTGCATGATGCCTAGCGTTAAAACAAGTTCCTTTATAAATGTCATTTGGGGAATGAGAAAAAAGTCTGTTTTCCAATAAAATAAAATTAGAATTGTTGATGATGACAAAGTCTCAGTCTCATGGTTTTTTTTGAGATAATCCAAAGCAAAAGCCTGCTTTAAAAGTCAGATATCTAAAATCCGATACATCGATTGTTCAATGCCAAATATGATCCGTATATAAACTCGGTCTGAACAGCACAATCTATCAGGGGCATACATAGGCCACAATTTTATTAATATAATATTTTTTGTATTTGTCGACTTGTTAATGTGAATGACTAGAGAACCGACTGTATAAATTTACGATGACAGCACCCACTTTTTTCAACCCACTTACATTCGCACCCTACATTTGCACCCCTATATCCGCGGGTTCAATCTATATGCGGGTGCTAAAATCCATGGGTAGGGTTACTATGGGTTCAAATTTAGTAGGTGCAAATTTCCATGGGTGCAATAGTGTGCAGATGCAATTGTCGTGGGTTCAAATTACGGGTTCAAATGTACGTGGGTTCAAATGTAATGGAACCATATTTACCTTCATTTTCTTTGCTTTCATTCTGGTCTATACGCATAGGAACATGAGTTTGAAATTGGTGAAGTAATTTATGAAGATGATGCAGTTTTATATGTTCTTCCAGGCGAATGTGGCTGTCCGAACTATAAATATTTAGCATCAAGTATGAATTATATAAACCTTCCCCAAGAGAGGAAATATGCTGTTTTTGCGGAGTAATTTAGCTTTGTATTTGCTGTATTATTACTAATAATATTTCTTTCTTTTATAATTACTATAAAACCTATTTATCCACACATAGACTAAATATATTATCTGAGCGGTGAATGAAGTGCAATTTGCGCTCACCAATAACTAAAAATTCATTAAAAATCGAACTATTAAGTAGGATTTTATGCAAGACGAGGAAGAGTTCCAAAGAGTTCCAAAACAAGCGAATGGAAAATTTTATGAAAAGATAATAGCACTGGTTGCGGGAGCCAGTACTGCATACTCAGACAGTGATCAGATGATACAGTATATAATAAATTGATTTATTGTCTAAAAATTTGAGCGAATAGCAACCCTTCAACATGGTTATATACGTTTATCTTCAAACAGTACCGTTGACTTGTTACTAGATTATAATGTCGGTGTAGTAGGTGGTTTATATTCACATTTGTGGTGTAATCTACCTTCTCATCCTGCGTCATTATAACCGATAATTATTACAGAACCACAAAGTCACGCGATATTCCTCTAATATTTTTCTCAACCACTGAGAAATATCGTTCGGGACAAAAATCAAAGAAAAATTGTGATTCAAACACTTCTGTCCTGAACCCATCAAAAAAATAATATGAACCTCGTGTTCAACCAGGAGCTATTGATTCAAACAGCAAATGTGATTATACTTATTGATTTTATGTCCCAATGACATGAAGATCATATTTTTTTTCCTATTTAGTTATTGTATAATACAGAAATGTCTTATAGATTAGGATGATTTTCAGGAAAAGACTTATGCCGCAAGAACTTCATGAGAAGTAATATTAGGCGTGTTATATTAAAGCGACGTCGTTTGAGAGATATGTCATGATGTAAAGTCAACAATGTTGTTCACCTTAGCAACGTACAAACGAAAGGACTTCTACGCTATCATGTACCACGCTTCGACGGTACCCAATTCGTACTATACGCGTGGATTATTTGACAGTTTAAACATGGATCTAACATAAAGTTATGTCAACAGTATGAACTAGAAGAAACATACAACTAACTTACATGTACCTGAAAAGTAGACGCATCCCTTGTGCAAATACAGAGCTAATAATGGGGAGATATGTCCACTCCATGTTTAATATTGGCAATAAAATCTATCTCTACCCTCTACCGACTTCGAAAACAGGATCCAATTTTGTGACGATATAGGGTTCCATGAAAAGGGGGAATTGTCCATATATTAACCGAAAGGTCTAAAACTGAACTAAAAGGCCTAATGCTGAAAATACAAGCCCATTCTTCCTATTATTCTGAAACCTCATTCGTTGTCCGTCCTTTTGGTGTTAACGAAAAAACAGAAATTTAAAACCAGCACGCGTCCTTTTAATTATGAAGCCACTGGTACAAAATATTGTTATAATACACAAAAGAATTGTTTAAATAACACTACTTTAATTATATACTGTACCTTTAAATAATGGAAAGACTGGATGCTACTTTGAAAACGTATTTTCAATAATAACGGTGCGAATAGATACTTAGGTAGATCTTACTTAACTTAATATTTAGAATATCTGGATTGACTATATAACAAAGCAAGTAATGTGGTAGTGTAGAATTAGAATGTATTGAATAATTATTCTCTATGAGAAAAGATAATGATTTCTATGAATTTAACTCACCTTTTAAAACTGTAGTCACTGCTAGAAACATCACTCAGACTTGATATCGAAGTATACGAATTTATCTCCATAACTTAACTTATGTTTTAAACCCTAACATAAGCTGTTGAAAACCTAAACAGAAGTGACATTCCCATGAAATACCACCTTTATCGCCGGCGTTCGCTTGACAGAGCGTACATCGATAATAACTTCAAACTTGTTGATACCCACACAGTGTAACTTCAACAGAGATATGAAACTAGTCGATCATCGCTTCATACAACCCTATGGTAATGTCGTCATGACTTAGACAAATATACTCGATTGTTATATAAAGCATTGTTCCATCGATACTAGTTAGGCTCTTTCACTAAATCTTTTTGGATTGGTCTTTGCTAAGAGCTTGGATGCTAAAAACCTTTTATTCTCAGCTCGTTATATAGATTAAGGGCCTCTTGAGGGGCATACACAATAATAGACTTCCTCGGTTGAACATAACGCCACGGCGGCCCTTTCTGGAGCGTTATATGGAAGATAGTTTGAAGGCTGAATTTAACTTGATTTTTAGCACTGCAAGGTCAGTCTCCAGTTTATCCGAACATGAGTAACATGAACATATAACTTAATATCTGAAGCGGGGCTTCTCAACTATTTTTACCAAAGATTCGAAACTTTAAAGGGGCCGGTCTTTCCAGAAATTATATTTCGACATCCTGGAACGGCTAATAAAAATTGGTTAATTAATCATGATAGCACTATCCGAATTGTTTATTATGACGTTACAGTTCTTTTCATATATAGTAGTTCATATTTTATAAAACCTTGTACTTTTTTGTTCCCCGTTTTTTGAGACAAATTTTGTCCTTTTCTCGATTTCAATGGATTTGACATGATTGTAAAAAATAAGCCAATTAGTTATATAATAAAATCACTTTGGCGTGAATGGTAACGTAACCTAGTTTTCTGCTTATCCACAGCTATTTATAAATCTTTTGATCGGCCTAGATTAAAAATTTCGTGATTCACTGCGATAGAACGGCAGTGAATTCACTATAATTTTCCGGCCAATAATTTGCATTAACTACGCTTGATATTGAGTAATGAAGTAACTGAAATGAAATATTAATTTGTAGCAAATATGACCCTGCGGAATAAACTATACTACTGTATCTCTTTAGAAAAGAAAATGATTCGGAAAATTAATTCTTTATAAGGCAGAACACGCTATTTTAGGCGATATGTTTAATGCATAAAAGCCAGTCTAAAGTCGCATATTTCATTTCAAGTCAGCGAGAATATTAAATTGACTATAAAAATAAAACACGATACGTGGGTACGAACGTAAAGTATGCGATGAAATGCGTCGTATTCAAACTTGATCTAATTTCAGTTTTCAATTTTTTTAAATTATATATTACAAAATCGAATATGGAACCGGAATTGACGCTGATTTATCCAACAATCATTGATTTCATACCATAAATAAGTAACTGTGTGATATCTTTTGTCATGTCAGGTCTTTTCTTCTTTTAATTTTATGTCCTCCTACGTTTGTTAATAAGGAGAACAATTTTTGTCAATCACAGGAGCGAAACGGATAAGATGTAGAGCATACTTGTCAAGAACATGACAGGAAGATTGCTAATGTGTTTCGCCCTTGGGCGCATCTGTTACTCAAACCATTCTGTTAACAATTATCTTCTTGATGGTTATGCCGGTGACAGCCACGCAAGGGTACACTGTTAAAAGTAATAAGATAAATTCTCATCAATACAAAATAAACTGAAAACATATTTCAAGTTTTCAAATCGCGCCATACACGATACCTTTGTTTTTTTTTCAAATCTTGCCAGTTGTTGGCCGTAGATGTATCGTGATACATAGTTGGTCTGTAATGAACCATGTGAAGCATAATGAGAAAAAAGTAGTATTTTTCTCGTTGAAGCTACGTATGAAAATTTTTGATTGTTAGCCCGGGGTTATGTTCCTTTTTGATATACTAATGTTACACTGAAACTTATGCATTCGAATTTGGGTATCGTACATGAACGGAGAGCAAAAATGAAAGTACTCTTGCTTGCTGCTGCACTTTTATTTTCTTCGGCTTATGCTGATGGTAAGTAACGTGGACGATATATAAGCAAGTACATGTGCTTGAGGGAAGGAATTTTACTTGTCAGCAATTACACATATGTAAAAATATTGCTCGTACATGTCTGTCATTTGAATTATTCATGTTAATGGTGGAAATTCATTCTGAATATAAAATATGATTTGCTGAATCTTTCCAGTCAGAGTAACAAATATTGATGCATTATCAATCTAAACATCGTTTTTTTGTGAAGCAAAATACCCTATTAATTTTTTTAAGAGTGCGATGAGACCGCCGAATGCAATACTGGAGAAATATGCTACAAATTTGAACCAGCCATAAAAGAGGGAGTTTGCTCTTGCCCGGGAGGTTATACAGGAGATGAATGCAAAACAAGTAAGTAGATTTTTCAAGTCCATAAGTCTTTATTTTTTTAAATCTAGAATTATCGTATCAACCAGCATTTAGTTTTCGCGGATTGGATTCTTCCTAATAAAATTATTATCAAGTTCATTTACAGCAAATCACCTGCGACTTTAGTATGAACTGTGTTTTTTCTCAACACCTTGACCAAAGATTTCATACCAACTGTACTTCTAGTTCTTGTTTATTAATTTAAGTGAGCCCATTCATAATTTTTTTTGTATTGGTGATTTGCAAATGAACAGTATCTATCAGAAAGAAAACCCTTTTAATATGGAATACAATGTATGAATAATGTTGGTAGTATATTAATTGAAGCATTTAGCATCGAATATTGTAACCTTTTGGAATTAATTATCCTATTCTCCCTAAAATTTTTGCTTTCCAGTCGACGAAGATAGGTACGTAGACAGCACGTGCCCTTTGCCAGAAACATCAAAATTTCCGTCACTATGTACAGTCATTGATGGATGCGCTATTGACAATAGTTGCGATTCTGATGAAATTTGTTGCTCAAATGAAAACGGATGTGGTTCTGTATGCAAAAAGAAAGGTATGTAAACAGGGTTATTAATGTTTTTTAATCACAGGAAAATGTATCACGAAGCTAGAAAAATTTAGATATTTTCAACCTAGATCTAAAAAAAATTCTTTTAATGTTAATTTTCGATATCATTCAAAATATTTATACTGTATTGCAATAATATTTATATAATTGAAACGATTCAATGGGCTTAGTAATTGCTCGACAAAAGAAGTTTGAATGAATTTGACAATAATTCCTATTTGCAAATTGTCACTAACGATTTAATTATTATTTACATTAATTAAAAAATTTTAATATTCTATAACAAACAACTTAAGTAGACAAAGCTTCGTAAGTTGGATTCAATGTATTAAAATAAATAGTGGGTCTATTCTAAACTCCAAACATTCCAATAAAATAGTTAAGTACTGCATAGTGCCAGCAGATGAACCCTACAATATATTTTAGTAAAGAAAAAGCAGTCTTTAGAAATGATTAACTGAAATTAGCCTAACATATATAAAGTAAAAATGATTGATAAAACAAATATACAATGTATCATTTTTTCTACAAGAGTAACGAAATGCCAATGAAACAGTAAAATATTGTTTTTATATGGTTTAAATCTATTAATCGTGCAATTATCGTGCACTATACCTACATAAACGGGATGGTTATGAATACATTAATGAGGTTTCTAAATAGGTATTTTTTTTATTGTTTTTAAGTCAAGATTAATTAGGGAACACGTTGAAACTGATGTCGTTCGGTACTTGGCGTAGACACCCCAAGGGCAAAACGATTTAGCGACAGTCGCGTACTGGTACTGGGTTCCATTGTAGTACAAGTACGTAAATATGTTTGTCCTCGTCCGTTCAAAAAGTAATACAATATAAATAGAAAGTCAAAGTCAATTCAAAGTGCCATACTGCTACAGGTATAAGGTGCTTCGAGAATTCAATTGTAAAAGATAAAATTTATTTAAAAAATATATTAGTTTTACAGTGACTACATTTACAATTAATTATTTGTAGTATATGTTAGAAATAACCGCCCAAAACAACGACAAATCCTCGATAAAATGATTTTCTCGTAAGCAGCAAATTCTTGTACAATAAACCGGATATGTTTTTGTGTTTATATATTATACATAACAATTTTACTCTTGAAATTTTTCATCGTAACGGATACCTTGGTACCAGATACCGCCGAGAACATCTTGATACAGAACGCGCATATTCGAAATTTCTTATCGCATTTTCATCTATGTGAGTCCCGTCCGTGTCAGTCAGACGACATCACTAAATTCGTAAAATGCCTTGAAACTTGAAACCGTTTTTCGAACTTTTTTCCTTTCGATATGAACAAAAAAGAATACAGATAATAAAATTAGTTATAAACTTAAGGCTCCTTACTTCTAAGAACGAAAAACCAACAGAGTTATCTGCGTTTACGTTATCTGTGTTTTGAATCGAAGCATACACTCTATGTGAAACACAGTAAGGGTTTTATATCATGTTCAGGTGTTTTCCTATATCTTAGATTTTTTTCGATGACGTTGTATTTCCGTTATACTTTTTTTTCATTTTTGGATTTCCAATCCTTTGCAATTAATTCAAGCTTTATTAGCACTCATTGTAAAATAATGATCTACTTTGCAGTAGGGTAATAAATAATATTTTTTGTCGTATTTTGTAAATAATGTTTGGTATCTTCAAAAATTCAAATCATATAAATTGAATAAGAAGTCACACAATTTAACACAGAACTCAAACGTTCTAACTAACTCAATTTTAATTGTTCTTGCCTAGATTGTTCCGTTGAAGCCAACAAAAAGTCGTGCACAGACCAGAATAAATTGTGCATAAATGACGCGGATGATGGATTCAGATGTGCTTGTGCATCCGGATACGCGGGCGATGATTGTAAAGATAGTAAGTTGATTCATATTTAATCTTTTTTTTTTTTTTTTTTAAATGAAATTATGTCATGTTTCTGTAATTGGATAATTATTAATTATCAAATCCTTTATTGTTGTCGCGATTTGATAAAGTAATTAAATAATTAAAATTGGTCATTAAACTGTTCCAAAAGTTATAAAACTATTTGCAATAGGTATAGTTATTACCAACGTTTTCTCTCCCTATATGTGAATGATTTCAATACAATAACCTCTTTTTGTTTATTTTTGTAACTTGCAACTTAAAACTTAAGGAGCGATGATTGACGAGATGTGCGAATACCCTGATATAATGGAGACTTGTGAAGCAATTGAACCAGGCTGCACGGCTACTAGTCAATGTGATGATGGAAAAATATGTTGTTCAACTGGTTGCGGCACAGAATGTGTGGATAAATCAACGGATCCTCCCAAAAAAGGGCGTACGTAGATAAATGCTATTCATACAAATAATTCCTTGTTTGTTAATTTTTTTCCGTGGATAGAATTTTTTTGTAAAAATATGTAGTGCAGATTGTTCAACATATATAAGCATAGATCGCCAACTGACACTTAGTATATCTCAGTTATATTAAAGTGTCATTATTTGTTCATTTTTATAACATTATGTAGTAATATGAAACGGTTGTGGTATTATGAATATTGTTATAGATAGAAATCATAAAAGAAGAAGCAGTTTCAATATAACAAATCTTTTGTGGCAATTTTCCTAATGTTTCGAATTATTTTTTCATTCTTATTTCAGTATAAATGTCTTAGCATGAAAAGCTGCTGTGTTGGTTTTATTTGGAAATAGTCTGAATCAAAGATGTTTAATGGAGTTGTCAATTTCAAAAACGTTGATGCAGATCACTTCAATATCATTGTCTAACTTAGACGCATACTTAAAAACCATAGAATTAATACACTCCTAACTATTTCAACATATAGACATCTCGTACATCAACTACAACATATACATCAACTACTTTTATAAATTTAGATGACGGATAACTTTTTAATTTTATAGTTGATATTGGGCTGTTCCTTCTATTATCTATGCTTGGTGGCAACAGCGGCGGTGGCAGCGACGGACTCTTTTCTTTCGGAGGAAAAAAATGTGGACATTGTCCAGATTATTGTAGCGCGAGAAGTCACATATGTCATGGCAATCTTCTTGCAAAATGTGAAAATATTTGCGGACAGTCTTGTGATTTTGTCTTTAAAGATTACCATCACGAAGCTAAATACGTAACAAAATCGTGTAAGTTTGCTGTTTTTTGTTTCAGTTCGCTGTAAAAAATATGGTGCCGGCCTCTTTTTGCTTATTCACGATATCAGTAATTTTTATTGTAATCTGGAACTGGATAGAAGTATAAAGGAACACCTTTCGCCGCTGACATATGGCTAATGAAATTATTTGCTGACAAGGTGCGCCTTCCTCAAAATATGCATGATATAATGGCGTCTTAGCTGTGGGCGTATTGTGACATATATACAAAATTCTATAAATTTTTAATTGGATATGCTATGTTTTGTCTATACCAGGTGTTTGCCCCGCCGATCGACCACCTGCCAATGTTAGATGCGATCAAGAAATTAGCTATTGCATGCAATACGAATGTGGATATCTTCATTGTCGGGTGAGTAGGTGCGGAGGATGTACAGTTGGTTGGTACGACGACAATTGGACTCAACAACAATGCCCTCAAACACGTAAGTATTTAAAAATGAAAATAAAAGAAAAATTTAGAGACTTGACACAAAAGACTTGGAATTCCTATTTTTTTAACAATTTTACATAACTTTATTATAGATTATTCACCCTCATTTATTAGGGAATGTCACAGTAGAAGACCAACATGCAAAAGCCAAAAAAAAACAAATTTCACAGCTTCATATCCTAAATATTTCCTTTTCGGCCTCATTTGGTTAAAAAATAGGAAAAAGGCATAGTCTTTCATAGATTTTACAATAAAATCGGAATGCCAAGTTGACAGAGAACACAATAGGCAAACAAGCATTTGAACATCATTGCATATTGTTATGTATATATTTTTTTCAATAGGATCACGAAGTTTCAATAGGGGTCACGAAGGTGGTCAAGGTGGTTTGTTCGGTAATCTCTTCGGCAAATAAACAGCAGAAATTGAAATGCACAAAAGAATTAAACGCTCTTTTTCATAAGAGAGTCATTTGTACGGCATATACTTTTTCAAAACTTTTTCGATTTTTCATTCTTACTACAAAGCCTTTGAATACGCAAGATTTAGGAGACTGTCGTATTTTCCGACTGAGAAAATTTGGATAACAATACAGAGCATCTTTAAGTTTTTGTCTAATGTAGAAAAATTTACTAATACTCCGACCTCGTTTATAACATAATAAAATATATTCTATATTGATCTTTGAATTTATAAATGTGTTACAAAATGTTATTTTGTATGTTTGTGATCGAGATAAGATATAGACAGTACATAACAGTCGTTCCCATCTTTACTAACCAAGCGGAGGAGAAACATCAATCAAAATAATCTTAAGGATCGGTAAAAAAAAATTGAAATAAATGGGAAATAGAAAATAACCTGTGTTTACCTAATATACTTTAATGTTTTGACGAAAACTCAAAAACAAAATTACAAAACACCACAAAACCGTACGCAGAATAGAATCAGTTAGATCTTGTGTGTTTCCGCTGGTACATAAACCATACTGAAATAAAATCGGTTAAATCATAGGCCCATCAAATATCAACGTAATGAAAAACAAACGAAGTTCTAAAACTTATACGCTTCCACACACAACCATCTTTTATTTTTTCGACTTTGTCGGGGCTCTTGGAGCGTTTTTAAATAATACGACGCGTCCCGTTACTTTGCCAGTAATTAGGATACCATTCTCAGTTTTCTTCTTTTACTGTTTTGCTATATATAATATTTAGATTTTAGACATTTACGAGAATTACCAAACTGCTGTCGCAACGGGTCGGAACTTGGAAGGTTCGACTGCTTGTTGACCAAGATATCGTGGTGCAATCTATATCATCATTTCCAAACACCCAATTTAACGATGAAAGGTAAATCACCTAACAAAAACACGGTCATTTGGTAACCAAACGGTTAAATTTGCAGAAAAAATATACAACAAATTGCTGCTGTCGCAACGGGTCGGAACTTGGAAGGTTCGACTGCTTGTTGACCAAGATATCGTGGTGCAATCTATATCATCATTTCCAAACACCCAATTTAACGATGAAAGGTAAATCACCTAACAAAAACACGGTCATTTGGTAACCAAACGGTTAAATTTGCAGAAAAAATATACAACAAATTCGATTAGCCAAAAAGATCGAGTTATTCACGTGTGGATTGACAACAGTGAAGCTGGTGAGTGGGAACATGTATTAAGAAAATAGTTCAGATCTAAAAGGGTATCAATGATTCTGTCGGGAGGGTGAAAATATATATAATTGCAAGTAATAAGTGATGTTATCTACTCACTACTTATATACTCACACAAGTCGAAATTATTTTATTTTCAAACAAAACTATACCTGGGTCAAAAATTACCAATATACATAACTTTCAGATCTTTTTCCAACTTGAGAATTGTCAACCAATCTAAATCCGCAGTTTATGTTTTGGGGGATCTCCTAACTTTCGATCGATAAGTCTTCGGTCTCCAACCGATATTCTCGTTGAGGTATTACCAGTTTGTAATAGCACCACATTCAAACGAGAGGGCGATTTTGGACTTTGATGCAATATGGGCGCTGAATGGAGATTTCAAAGGTTAAAATATAGCATATGGCATCTTATGATTAGTCAAATTTATAGCTTAGAAAGTGGATTTATGATATCGTTTTGAAAAATGAAGAAAATGAACGCATTTCTGATGAGTGTTACGTCTTGGTGCTGATGAAATACCAAAATTACATGACTCTATTGCTTATGGATTGTCGTAAAAGTTCCCAATCACACCTTCCTTACTCTTATTAGACGCACTACGAAAGTATTTAACGTTCAAACGAGAATATTGGTCGGGGACCGAAGACTTATCGATCGAAACTGCGGTTTCGATTCATGACTCTATAGTGACACTAATTGAGTAATAGCTCGCAAATTATACGACATAATTCACTCAAAACCAATAGGCTTCTGGTCCGAGATATAATGAATGCACTTACGAAATTTGAAGCAGATTCAACCTCGCTTTCGTGAGATATCGGGTGCATCTAACAAACAGACATATACCTATCAACATACTTACCGATCTCAAGATCGATAAGTAACAATGCAGCCTGTATAAAGTGTTTAATTGGAAAGTTATTTGACAAGACTTTAAAAATACGTTGCTAAACGTTTCGGGTCAAAGATCGCTGGAATGACCAAGTATCACTACCGCTTGTGTCATGGGTGGTCTAGATGTTGAGGACCGCGTGTAAATTGTACAGTTGATTAATAACTCTTCTTCCTAAGAAAGGACAAACTGAACATTGTATAAGCAATTATCGCCCAATAACTTTATTAAACGTGGACTATAAAATACTGAGCAAAACATTAACAAACCAAATGAGTAATGTAATCAACAAAATTGTTGATCTTGATCAAACTGGATTTATTAAGGGGAGAAATATAGGGGATAATATTCGTCTGATTTGTGATGTAATTGACCTAACTGTTGCTGAATCATTGCCTGGAGCTTTAATTTTTCTTGATATACAAAAAGCGTATGATTGTGTGAAATGGGACTTCTTGTTCAAAATTCTTCATGTATTTGGATTTGATCTTAAATTCATAAAATGGGTTAAAATCCTTTATAAGGATATACAGTGTTGTGTCACAAACAATGATCATATTTCAAATGATTTTGGAGTCCATAGTGGCTTAAAGCAAGGTGATTATTTCAGCTGTCTTACATTTTTACTGGTAATTGAAATTTTTGCAAACATGGTCAGGCAAAACCCAAAAATTGAACCCATAAAATGGAGGGATATTTCCATAAAAATTTCTATGCTTGCTGATGATGTGACTGTAATAACCAATGGATCAAAATCTAGTATTGATGCCCTTTTTCAGACTTCAAATATTTTTGGGACTATATCTGGGTGCAGAATTAATATAGCAATATGCCAAGCAATGTATATTGGCAATAAGATTGGAACCTCCCCGATTAGTAGTGAATATAATCTCAATTGGAACGATGAAATCAAAATATTGGGTGTTATTCTGTCAAACAAAATGGAGGGTTTATACAGCAAAAATTTTCCACAAATATTAAACAAAGTCAAAAAGCTACCTCAGGTGTGGAAAACATGAAATTTGACGTTTTTGGGAAGGGTTTGCATTATTAAGTCTCTCATTTTACACCAGATATTATACCATGACACTGTTTTACCAATTGACGTTCCTGAAAGTTTCTTATCTGAATTGAATAGAACTATATATGTATTTGTATAGGGTTCAACTTGGGAGCGGATCAAACGAAATACCTTGATTGGCCCCAAAGAAAAAGGGGGTATTAATATGATAGATATAAAAAATTTTATTGTTGCCCAGAAAATGAAATACATTCAAACACTCTTGAATGAGGACGTTAACCCAGTGTGGAAATTGATTGAGATGGAAGTGCTTGACCAATACTGTTTTCAAGCAATGCTTGAAGGAAAATTGAGCTCAAATTCATATGTAGTGAAACATTTACCTTTAACATCCATACGAAATATATTAAAGAACTGGTATTTTTGTAAAAATGTGCTTTTTGATTGGAAAATGTCAAATTTTGATCAATCTATATGGTACAACAAAAGTATTTCTTATGCCAGAAAACAATTTTTTATCAAGTCTTGGTATGATCATGGTATAAAAGCAGTAAGACACTTAGCAAATGTGGGTAATCTGTTTACTTATAGAGAGTTGACTGAAAAATATAGCATGCAATATAGTGATGTAGAGTATGTAAATTATTATCGCATCACTGGAGTTTTACCTGACGATTGGTTATGCAATATTGGAAACTGTATTGATTCTAGTGTATTAAGTGACCCCGAGAAAAATGTATCTCATTTTATTTCTGAAACATTCGAGTCAGAAAAAGTAAATAAAAGTATCTATGAAGGTTGAAACTGATCAAATTTATATTCCCTGATAAATCAAGGAAAAAATGGGCAGATCTTATTTTTTTAGAGAGTGATTTTAATTAGAATAAATTGTATATGGATATCTTTTATTGTACTATTGAAACTAAATTGCAATCTTTTCATGTAAAAATGTTCCATGGTGCCATAGTACTGAACGATAGATTGTATAAATTTAAACTTGTTTCAGCAGAGTCATGTGATTTCTGTCATTCAAATGTTGAAACTACCAGCTACCTTTTCTATGAATGTATAATTGTTCAACAGTTTTGGGAAACACTAAACATGTGGATATACTCAAAAACAGGGATTAATTTTAACTTTTCAAAGAGAGATTGCTTGTTGGGATATAGTTATAATTTTTATAACAAATTGTGTAACTGTATACTTCTTGTTGCCCGGTTTTATCTATATCGTTGTAAGATACAGAAAAAGAAACCACTGTTTAATGTTTTTACCTCAGATCTGTATGAAGTGAGGGAAATTGAACGGATCATTGCATATAAAAATGGGAGAATAAAGAAACATGATCAAAAATGGAAAATTTTATGATACATTTACTGATTATTTTATATGATGAATTGTGTATTGTCCATGATTAGTGATTGTTGTAGATGTACCGATCAATTGTGTTTTATATATTAATAAATATATACAAAAAAAAAAAAAAAAATTGTACAGTTGAATTTTCGATGAATCTCAACAAAGTGTGGATAGTCATACACGATAATACCCAGAGGTCGAAACAATTGTGATAACACTTCCACATCACTGGTTTTAAGCCAAAAAGTTGATAAGTTTTTCAACAGATTTTTTAAAGTACGCAGGTGTTAAACGTGTACCGTATTTATGCTCTTGATAATTGTGCAACTGAACGAGATATTCTGGAATATTAAAATGATTTTAACAATAAATTATATATATATATTCGACTGCATAAAAATGAACGGAGCTACCATGAAACGATTCTACTAACTTTTATTTGTGAGAAAGATACAGATTTTTTATAAAACAAAATATTAGCAGTTGCTAAGAATAATTAAAAATATATAAAAGTATTTTGCATGAACATGCAAATTTGAAAATTGATTTGCTTTAGTTTGTATTCTAACAGAAAAAATAAAAATTAGAGTTACAGTGTTCACGAATTTAATTTTGGAGTAGGTTCCATTACTGGTAATCTTGAACTTGACAAAATTAATCTGAAAAAGGGGCAAACTCGACCATTTTTAGACCACATTTTAGCTTATCATTTCCATAAAAGGACGCAGTAATCACCGTTCTTCACCTCATACCAAAATTATTGCTTCATATTACGAACCTAACCCATCACCATTATCTTGCCATGTAGTTTAACACCTTGGACTCAAGTTTCTTTTTAGGTGATATCTGATAGCAGACCCGGTAAATATTTTATAAATTCTTTTTAAACTAACTGATAAGTAGTAATTTATTTTTCATTGAGTTTCTTTTTAAAATGAGTAGATCTTTGTAACCTTCTTTTGAGAATGTATATATTACCGTTTACGAATAACTTTCGATTAGATATCCTTCCACGGTATGTAACATTTTTTTATCGAGGTTCAACGAGTGGAAATATGGAAATATCAATACCGGTCATCTACATTATAATATCATAGTGCGACCTCACTTGGAGTTAATGAATAATATCTGTCTCTGTTACAGGTTTATCATTTGGAACGTTCCTTCTTTTATTTATACAAGGTCCGAATTTAATATGCTTCCAATGATAGTTGTGTAAAAATAAATTCGTAGTGCGATTCAGCTACGATTCATCAGTTTGAAATTGAGATTAATATATTGTTCCAATCGCCATTTAAATTGCGTCCTCAACCTAGAGTACGTTGTACTATCTTAAAATTAATATGTCGTTTTTTGAAGAACTATTAAAGGAAATTTTTTGTTGTTTATGTATTTAATCATGATTTATTTTTACTCTTGGTTCTTTTGAGATGATTCCAGCAATGTCCCAGATACACCAATTTCTGCTGACAGAACGGCTGTTGGCTATCTCCATCACAGCCGTACATGCTACAGCTTGCGCATGATAGAAATGTGAAAGGAACAGTTCCATGAGACGCATTCGAGTTATAGTGAAGCTAGTAAAAAAATTCTGTCAACTTTGCGTTTCATTCATACAAATACCAAAAATAGCGTCACCGTATTTTTTATTTATCAACGGCTGAGCTCGAGTCTTCAAAATTATGGTTCTAATTAATAACTTCCCCTAAAATCCGTTATGGGAATCTTTAGTTAGTGTTATTACAAGCGTTCAATCTGCCCTCCGGCAAATTCAACAGACAACTACTTCTGAGCGCTTCATTTCGGATAGGGAAAGGCTATTCTTGTGCATTGAATAACTGAATGAATAGTGTAGCGTCTTATTAGTTCTAGAAAGAAAAGGCACAATGATGAAAACAAAAAAGTATGCTGTACTGTTGGTAGTTTTTTTGAACTTCGTAATGACTCGAGGTGCTGGTGACAGTAAGTATTATCTTCCTTGGAAATAGTTCTGCTTTGGTTTGTTTTGTCACTTGCGAGACTTGTATAAGATTAATTGTATAGGTATAAAGTGATATCAAGTAATTCTCATTCCTTCCTTGTGTACGCTTCAAAATTCACTATAAATTGAGGCATAGCAACCCAAATTTATGTGAATAAAAAAGCACCATTGAGTAAAAATGTAATTACCGATCATAAAATGATTGGGACATTGGATAGACGTTGTTTTATATAAAACCAATCAAAACTTGATTTTTCTTTTTTGATTCATTATTTATGAGTTCGTGCATTTACGAGACATGATTCGATTGTTTCTTTTCCAAACCATAATATTAATAAGAAGTGGCTTCTGCGTTCAATGTGTTCGTTTTATTATTTTTGTAGAATATGCTGTATTCTGCCTAAATTTTTCATTGTCTCACTAACGAGCCTCATATTTGTGTTATGAAGTTTTCCTAAAGTTTTTTATTATTTTAACCAGTGGTGGGATTCAAATTTGTTGTCAGTCGGTTCCATCACAAAAGTCATATTTTTAGTCGGTTCTGTTCCAAACATGACATTGACAATAACCAGAAATGCTAACCGGTTCGCTGATCTCATAAAATTTCGTGGGATTGTTCTATAGAACCGGTGTGAACCGGCTGAATCCCACTACTGATTTTAACCATACCTACACATTTACCTAATGTTGTATAATATATATATTTTTTATTAAAACTCAAGTTCATTTTCAGTTGGGGATTCATGCACCACATCAGATGATTGTTCAGGTAACAAGGTGTGCTATGATCAAGGTGGCGATAAATGCTGCTTTTGCCCAATCGGATATAAAGGAGACGACTGTACAGAAGGTGAGAATATTATGCGAAAATGCGGTGTTGAAATATTAGGAAACGTTTGCATAGTCAGGTTTGTGGCTTCAATATTGAAAAACCATGCCACAAGATTGCTTGAATCTGTGGAATAGCTACTTACTTCAGTTGTTTTTAAGATATTGTGACCCATTGTATACTAACCCCACCAATGTTACACATTGCAATTAAAACAACTTGGAACAACATGCCACCGTTGAGGTTTAAGATAAATTTATGTATTGAAGTAAAATAAATGAGTAAAATAAAATAAGAGATTTATGTTTAAAAACGCCATTATAATTTCAGCTGACTTGGTGAATCCTGTCTGTCCATTTCCTACAAATCCTGTTGATGTCTGCTCTGTGCCACCAACGGGACAACCATGCGGGTTTGACAATTCTGACTGCCCGAACGATGGAATATGTTGTATATCATCCAATGCATGCGGATCACAGTGCGTTTCATCTTCTGCAGGTATAAAATAATTGACATAAACTCGAGGTGGTTATGATGCGTAAAAGTGGGTAACTTGTGAGTAATTGGGTCCAAGTGGTTGATTTCTCCGCACCTCGTTTAAATCATATTTTTGGACAGCTGGTTACGAATATATATCTAGACATATTGAAACTTAGTTGTAGCTTAAATGTAAAGTCTTTTGTTCAGTTACATTGTATAACAAATTTATTAACAATATGGATGGAACAACACAAAGATTTTTCTTGAACTCTAAAACTTTAACTATTCTGTAGTATCCACTGCGATATCTAAACTTAGATGAAAAATATTTAGTTAGTCAGTGCCAGGAATAAAGATTTTTTATTTGACAGCGAAAGAGAATTTAGACAAACCTCGTGGTTACTATTATCAATTTATCTGGTTTTATTTTAGCTATCCCGATAGTTATCATGTCGTGGCTGAATTTTCTTCTCTGAAGTTATATTTTGTTGTACTGCAACCAGAAAATTGTCTAGTAACATCAAATATTATTCTAATAAGATATATTTATATTTTAACGCCTCAGGGTAGTGGATCCCGGTACCAGAATGCTCAGTCGGTAACAAGCACTGGCCGTGACGATCGTAGGAAATATGTAATTGATTTAGAAGTATAATTATCAGGATATTAAGCCCTGTCACGACTTTTAATATGCTTGATATATGATATACGCGTACAAACGTGATATAGACTTAACTTCCATAATCGTTCATACCTTGACTCTGAGGAGAAAGAAAAAAAAAATATTTTTGCAAATTCAACCCATATCCTATTTCACAGTAGCATTATTGCTGTATTCAAATTACAAACTGCAAGAAAAATGTTTATATGAAGTCAAAAATTCAATGTTTAGTTTTTTTTTATATCATTCAACAGGACCATGGGATAGTTGTATAAATTTTACAAGACTCGGTACATATATGAATTGAAATTCAAGTCTCCTCGAACCACTAAAGTAGAACTACTTTTTATTTATTTAGCGTAGCTCATTGGTTCTCAACCAGTGGGCCATGGCCCACTGCTTAGCCATAGAGACATTTTCAAGTGGGCCACATGTCTATTAAAAATTATTATGGTTATTGAAAAGTTTAGTTTCATTTGTGTCTTTATAGTCAAATTTTTATGGTAGTAGCATTGAATGATGCTGCTGCTTTTCATTCTAATTATTAAAGTGAAAGTATTTATTTTTGCAAAGAGAGTCTTGTTTTTCTTGTAGTTTTTTCCTTGCATGAGAAAGTTAGTGAGCCACAGAATTTTTATGCAACGAAAGTGGGCCACGAATAAAAAAAAAAGGTTGAGAACCACTGGGCCCTAGCTATTTTGATAACAAATTTTTCATCCGTAATGTTACTGCAAATACTGCGAATCTGTTAAAACACAAAATCATGAATATATGTGTATACCGTATTTTTTCACCACTGAAATTGTAATCTTTCTCTTTATGAAAGGAAAAGAAAGTAAAAATTGATTGAAGTGAAGTATAAACAAAACAATACTGATCTGTCACTTTTCATGTAGAATATCATCAAAATATTTTTGTTATAGGTTGTGGAAGTTCAGCAAATGTTAAAACATGTACTGATGACAATAAATTATGTGTGAATGACGGATTATCGCCGAACGGATTTAGATGTGAATGCCCAGTTGGCTACACTGGTTCTGATTGTCGAACTCGTAAGTATGGATTTCCCGTCGACTATATGTTTAAAAACATTACGTCGCCAGCGTGTCATTCGTGAGAAAGCTTCTCCTTACAATTTGATCGTTTGAAATTAATTTTAACTCGGGAAATCAGTTGTAAATAGCCAAATTAAATTATCGACGTCAAATGATCTATTAAGAAAGTATTATAATTATTTTTATGGTGTTCAAATCATGATTGCTTTGTCACATTTAGATAAAGCATAATGTCAGTTTTCTGCGCGTACAGAAATGGTATTCGAGAGTTTAGCATCTGAAGTGAGTAGAAAGTGAGAAATTCGAACATAATAGGACTTTTCCTACATGAATTGCTAATTTTTTGTTATTTTTCATTGACCTTTATTGGGCTATTAGATACATATTACTAGTTTTCATCTGATTCAGATGTTGCAAAACGTTTAAAACATACTGTGCTTTGTATGAATATGATTTTCCGATTTTTTATTTTCCTTCATCTTACAATTCAAGATTACAATCATAATGCTTCTGTGGTTACACTATCATAAAATGTACAAATACCACATATGAGTGGGCACAATAAATTCATTAGAATTTGAAATCAAACAATCATTGCGCTTCACACCTTCCTAACATTTCCGACGTCACAAGTTTTTTCCCCTGTGCAGTAAGATATGTTAACGAGCAATTACACTTACACTTACAACAGGACAAATGATCGACAAAAAATGCGATTATCCTAAAGTACCAAATAATGTTTGCGCCACATTAGAAGACCCCACTTGTACTGCAACTGCTGATTGTGATGATAAGAAAATATGCTGCTCAACAGGATGCGGAACAAAATGTGTTAGTAAGGGTAGGTAAATCAATCCAGCAAATTAAGATGTAAATAAATTACACAGCAAGCTTGTAGCTTTTTCTCGTTGAAAATTTCATTTGAGAAGTTATTACAAATGTGTGATACGTAATCCAATTATGAATAAATGGTGTTGAAGGGCTTAACGCTGAGCTAGCCTGTCGCTGACGAACAACCCAAATGGAGTTAGAAGAACATATAGTATTATATCAGGCTAAAACGTTTTTTGTCTTTCTAGGAGGAATAGATTTCCAAACGCTTTTGTTGTTAAGTACTTTAATGAGCCAAAGACGTAGACCACCCGTTCAACCTCGCCCTCCAGTATGCCGCAGGAGGGTTTGCGGCCAGATGTTATGTCCCAACAATCTTCGAGCAACTTGTAGACCACTGGGCGCTTGCGATGGCTATTTTATTGATCAATACTCTGGAAAGGATATAACAGCAAAGTGTAAGTATTATGTTGGGAAAAAGTTATTTAAGTATTCTAACTATTTTCACTCCGATCCGTCGATCTTCTTTATCGAACTTCTCTGATTTCTGAAAATCTCAAGAGACAAGTTACCGAAATATATCAGATAATCCAAGAAGTGTGGTCAATATCGAATGATTTAGAGTAAGATGCTACTGGAAATTAAATAGGTAAAAAATATGCACGACTGCAATAGGCATTACAAAACATGACGGATGTAAACAGTTTCGTCTTTCAATCTATTCCATGTAGTGTACTCAGAAGTCCAAATCTCAACGGTTGTTTTTTCCTCATTGAATTCTGTGTAATTTATTCTACAAAATCGCAAATATATTTTATAGGTTCATGTAGGAGAGGAGAACAAGAAATATCCACCTGCCCCCCAAATTTCTGTTACGACGCTTCAGGTCGGCCACTAGTATGTTCCAATTATCCCACCGCTAGGTGTCGAGTTTCAAGATGCGGAAGATGTTACAGATATTGGATTCTTGACAATGGGAGAGAGGTAACCTGCGTTCAGAAGATGTCGTCATCAAGTGTTACCAGCAATGGTATGTATGGTAGTTAACACATTTGAGCATTTTTCAAATAATGGCTGTGCGGAATTTTCGAAAAGCAATTCGCCTGTGAAGTTTCATACATTTCAATAGAAAATATCTCACAAATGTTCGCGTAAATATGAAATTGAGAGATTCACACTAATATAAGATTTAAACTTTGCACAAAGATCACAGTATGCTTGTGCAAAACTAAATTGATCTATGGATTATCAGAAAACACAATATATGAATGATACCAAGAAATTATTATGGCCGAATAATGCAAGTTTCAAATATTTGCAGAAGTTGAAAATTGCTTTTATCACTGTGACTTAAAAGTAATACAGTATTTTAGTCTTCTAACAGTTTTTCCTACATCTTTCAGTTTGTTTACCTGGTGAAAGAGTGATTCCTAATTGCCCTGATTTGTGTAGCAGAGTCTCCTGTCCGAACTACTCTGATGCAGTATGTACAGTGCATCCTTGCAACGGGTGTAGATATAAATTTACTAGACAGGGAATTGACGTAACGTCACAATGCCAGATCATTGGATAACGATTCAAGACAAAAAATCTTATTTAAAATTTTATTGACAAATATATATTATGTGTGATTTAATAAATACAATGACTTATTAAAGACAGACTGAGTTGTTTAAAGTTGAAATAATTATTTTTGTCGATCAATTATTATTAAACTAACTTGTTATTCAGTTAATGAATTGCAATACATCTCATGTTTGTTAAAGATCAAGTTAAGTATGAATATCATGGTATTAAGTATGAAAAAATATTTCGTAAGAGCTCGTACAAATAAACGAAAGTTTGTAAAAACATAAAGAGACAGTTCAGCGACAGAGCAAACGCAAATATAAAGAATATTACATTCAATAAGGGCTTCGACTGGCGATCAGTATTTTCAAACATTGTTCCCTAAGAGCATCTTGGGAGAAGTTTGGCTGTTTGCATACATATTCTTCACGTTTTCGAAGTCACAGTTTTTTGCATCTTCATAGCTGTGTACATGTATTTTCTGTTCTCCCAGAAAAATGAGTAAGACTTGGTGGGTGTACGACAAAATGTCGTTTTAGTCTTATTTACTAAAACAGGCAAATACATTGCAATAAAGTTGAAGAATAAATTAAATTGATGTTATATCTTATGTGGAAAACGATTTTTTTAAATTTATCCAAGGATTGAGAATCGCTGTCCATCAGAAAGGTCGATGATATCCAAACTCTGAATGATATTATTTTTATAAAGGTATTATTAAGGAATTGAAAACAAAAATATTTAAAATATTATATAGAATTTATATAAAAAAAAACAGCGGCATGGATCAGAGTCATAATTTGTATTATTACCTAAGATAACGTCCTGCATCCAAACAGACGTGTGTACAACGAAGACCTCAAATTGAATTGACTTGAACTATAAATGAATCCCAAATCGTAGGTGACTCAAGTCGGTTCCGGTGTCTCAATTAAACAAATGGACCCGAATTTGAATTCTTTAGTAACAATTGAATTTTGTTGTATTTAGGTACAAAATTTCATGTTTGAGTAGTCTTAAAAAATCCAATTCATCGCAAAATCACAGTCCATATCTAAAATTACGAAGTGGGATCACAATGAATCAGAAAATATGATTCATTGTTTCGAAAGTGGGTGTTCATTTTGAGACAAAATGACTGCATTTAATTTATGTTAAAGTCAACTTTCCAATAAGAGCATTTAACTCAATCAAGTCGAGTCAACGAAATAACTAAAATTAGGTCCTTTTTAAAGAACTATCGAATTTCTTTCCTAAAAGCTGTTGATGTATTTGTGCGAGTATTTTCTCAACTTTTCTCTCGTAAAAGAGCATCAGCGATAGCTTGCAGCATTCAAATAGTAACCCTACCACTTTTAGTAGAGCATTTGGGATATTGTTGACAGCAAAAGTATATATAAATGGCAGCGCAGAGACATTTAATTCATGCTACTATCTGTCAAATGATTTATGTACATTTCTGCGGCGCTCTTGATGATCGTTGGTGTTACTACAGTTGTGAGTCGGACCATCTTGCAATTTCAATTCACGCTCTTACAAGAAATGAAATTCTAAAGATATGGCAGTTCCGGTACCGCGACACAGCGCGGTGACACTGAACTAACTCATAGCTGTCTGGTAAAAGCGGGGCTTGTTTTTTAAATTTTGTTTCAAATAATGGAGAAGGGAATGAAACGGATTACTTAGTATTTAAATTCATGTTGCAATTGAATGGAGAAGAGTAGATCATTGTCACGGGACATGTGAAATGGGAGACAGACAACTCGACTACGCACGGACAACTAGCAGAGACAACTTTGTAACAATTTGTAACCCAATTCAGATGGTGTTAAGTTGACGCATGTTATTTAGTAACGTTCTTAAGTGAAATGTTTGACTGTGGTTCGGTACCTTCGTTAATACGGTACATAGTTGACTCATATCACGAAACATTTCAATTGATGTTTCAATATATTCAAGAAGAATGGATCATTGTTACATGACCTAAAATATTTATGACAGTTCCTGTACCGTCACGGTACCCCGGTCCAGGTACTGGTAAGTCACCGCATATTATTTTTGGGGAATTGTTCTGCGTGTCCATATATTTGAGCATTGCTCTCTTGTTTTACTATGACAATGTTATTGGGACCTGACATATTTCTGTTGAGATCAATCAACATTCAAAATACGAGATAGGGATCAGAGACCGCCGACTTATCGATCTAACGGCGAGTATCCTTCGCTCTGATTCAATAGCGACACTGCGTGTCCGATCACTAATTGATCAATAACTCGCATATTATACGACATAATTCATCCAAAATCAATTGGCTTCCAATCCGAGATATGATGAATGCACATGCGAAATTTGGAGCGGATTCAACCTCGCTTTCGTGAGATATCGCGTGTATCTAACAGACAGACAGACAAACAAACAAACAGACAAATACCTATCAACATACTTACCAAAAAGAACGATAAGTAACAAGCAGATAGACAAATACCTATATCAACATACTTACCGACCGAGATCGATAAGTAATGAATGATATTTGAATGCAACATATATATTTAAGTTTGTGAGCTGCACCACAAATATCATGGTATCGGAAACGAACACACAGATCCATATGTCATTTCAGAAGAATCAGAATTGGCGATAGGCGTAACAGGATACTGAATGACAAACAAAAAAATTACTGTCCACGTTTTCTGTTGAGGAGCATTAAATATTCCATACCAATGGAATCCGTTATAACTACACGAAGGACAAACCACTCCAGTCTGAAATGAATCAAGAAGATCAATGATATTAAACGTGACGTAAAATGTGGGTACTTCTAAAATAGGATAATCAATATGTCAACGTTTACAGAAAATAAATCGAATTGAAATATATTGCTAATCTACGACAAGGGGAGAGGTTCAAAGTTTGAAAAGCTGAAATGTTTATAAAGTTCTGAAGCATTGAGTCAACATCACGTATCTAATCTTTAAATTTTGAAAAAGCAATGTATTGTTCGGGTTGCCAATGTTTTCTGTCCGGAAATAAAAAAGGCGTTTGCAAAAATAAGCATACCATGACAGATGGCTCTCGTCGCGTCGAAGAGTTTGGGAATTCTATAGCAGAAGCTTTATTTGCAAGCGTGGGAAACTTTTCATCGTATTCCTTGACGCTTGACAAAAGCACTGACATCAAGTCTACTGCTCATCATGCGGGGAGTTAATGATGATTTTGAAATTACCGAAGAGATCGCAGCCATTGTCCAAATTGAGGGCACGACCATGGGCATTGATTTGTTCGTGGCTGTGATGAAAATTTTTAAGTCTCTTGGCTTGTCTTTGGCAAAACTTTCGAGAATAACCACTGATGGCGCCCCATCAATTGCTGGGAAACAACAGTTTTCATTATTCTAATAATTGAGAAATATGGCGTGAAGGTATTGTTTTTTATTAACCTGTAGTCAGTGTACCAAAACTAAAACATATTTACCATGTTAAGTGGCCCGTGCATTTATCAGTAAACTACATGTGGCCCTTCGGCCAAAAAGGTTGGACGACCCTGGTCTACGATGACTGACAACTTCGTTGGGAAACCGAATCCACTATAATACGCGTTCAAAAAAATATTGAACTTGCTTTCGGCAATTCAAAATAGTCCTATAAATATGACCGCGGATGTAGAACGAGAGCAATATTTCAATATACCAAATCACCAATTTGTAAAGGTCCAATGTGCACTTGATTGAAACAATTTTTCTCAACCTTTATTCTTTTAAAAAAATCTTAGGTGAGAAAATCTTTATAAAATATTTGTATTATCATAAAAATGTTATTTATTCGTTAATACCAGTAAAATAACTAACAATCGAGATAAAAAAAAATGTACATTATCGCGAATAAACTGTGAATTTCAATACAATACATTTTTCGTGAGACCTAGTTCCCAATCAAAATTTTTGTTATAAACGAAATGAATTCTCCATTGTTTGTCATGGTATTGGATTGATATCGATTTGCGATGGAATCATTTTTCTGAAGTGATACAACTTCGCCAGTTGCCACTGCTTTCCCCAATTAGAAACCCGAGTTAAGTCTGCGCACAGGACTTATGCGAGATCCAAACGTTATATCTGATCATAAAATTTATCAGTAGACATCAATATTAAGCAATGACGTCAGCCTAATCGGAAATGAGATCATCGATCATAGAGAAAAAAATTGGTCCTGCAAAAGCACATCGATAGAAACGCACATCTTCAAAACAAATCTACCATGATAAACTCTAAGAAAAGTTTTAAATCTAAAACACTTTACGCTTGACGGTAGTTACGATTGTACCTTCAAATCAACAGTCATATTTGTCCATGCACTTGCCCAATAACGATGTGTAGGATTCGTTTTCAGCAATTTCGTAGAAATGAATGAATCAACACTGTTATGATCATCATTCCGTATGACAGCAATTTCCACAAAATTTGTTTGCAAATAGAAACTGCTCGTAAATAATCGACATCTATTTTGGATGGATTTCAGTCCGGTAACACAGACCTCTTTTTTCCGTCTTTTACTTCACAAAATTCTGAGATAACATAAACTCAAAATAAAAGATTCCTCAAAACATATCTCAATGTCATAGTTACAAGCTTATCATGGTATACTGAAATTGGACTTTTTAGAAAATATTCAAAAGTATTACTTTTTTGCTGCACGCTCATAGATACAGTCGATCCTGCGATATATTCCTAATTTATTTTATTTAAAACCTGTCGGATCCTCTGTCTAACTCTTTTCACATCAGCTTGGGCTATTCCATTTGTAACGCTTCACCATAGTGGCGATGTATTTTTAATTATTTATAATTTCTTAAATTGACGACATAATATCAATATTCCTAAATTGTATTAGGTTGCGATAGATAAATTTATAGGGTGGAACCGATTGTATTACAACATTACGCGTACCCCGATTCCTATGTAAACAACCCACATTCTAGGAATCATGAATTTTGCACACTTTTTATATCTTTCTTCATATATATGCTACGGGCAGCACATTTTCGTCGTTGTCGCTGAAAACCCCACTATTATATTATAGCCCAACATCGAAAACGAATTTTTATCTCACTACCAGATTGTAGGTCATAGACCTACGGCTCTCAACATTTTTACTGTCAAGTACCCCCCGCGTCACGAAACAATCAACGCGAACCCCCGGTAAT